TAAAAAAACAGATTACCCCCCCCCAGCAAAAAAAAAAGAAAGAAAGAAGTGTGCATCAGAATCAACCAAAGAACTTTTTTTAAGTGAAAATCCTCAGGCCTCATAGGGAAGCTCTATTTTTAATTTCTTGAGGAATCTCCACACTCTTCTCCAAAGAGGCTGCACCAACTTGCATTCCCACCAACAGTGTAAGAGGGTTCCCCCTTTCTCCACATCCCCTCCAACACATGTTGTTTCCTGTCTTGCTAATTTTGGCCATTCTAACTGGTGTAAGGTGGTATCTCAATGTGGTTTTGATTTGAATCTCCCTGATGGCTAGTGATGATGAACATTTTTCATGTGTCTGATAGCCATTCGTATGTCTTCATTGGAGAAGCGTCTGTTCATATCTTCTGCCCATTTTTTGATATGATTGTCTGTTTTGTGTGTGTTGAGTTTGAGGAGTTCTTTATAGATCCTGGATATGAACCTTTTGTCTGTACTGTCATTTGCAAATATCTTCTCCCATTCTGTGGGTTGCCTCTTTGTTTTCTTGACTGTTTCCTTTGCTGTGCAGAAGCTTTTGATCTTGATGAAGTCCCAAAAGTTCATCTTTGCTTTTGTTTCCTTTGCCTTTGGAGACATATCTTGAAAGAAGTTGCTGTGGCTGATATCGAAGAGGTTACTGCCTATGTTCTCCTCTAGGATTCTGATGGATTCCTGTCTCACGTTGAGGTCTTTTATCCATTTTGAGTTTATCTTTGTGTACAGTGTAAGAGAATGGTCGAGTTTCATTCTTCTACATATAGCTGTCCAGTTTTCCCAGCACCATTTATTGAAGAGACTGTCTTTTTTCCACTGTATATTTTTTCCTGTTTTGTCGAAGATTATTTGACCATAGAGTTGAGGGTCCATATCTGGGCTCTCTACTCTGTTCCACTGGTCTATGTGTCTGTTTTTATGCCAGTACCATGCTGTCTTGGTGATCACAGCTTTGTAGTAAAGCTTGAAATCAGGTAACGTGATGCCCCCAGTTTTATTTTCGTTTTTCAACATTTCCTTAGGGATTCGGGGTCTCTTCTGATTCCATACAAATTTTAGGATTATTTGCTCCATCTCTTTGAAAAATACCGGTGGGATTTTGATCGGAATGGCATTAAAAGTATAGATTGCTCTAGGCAGTATAGACATTTTAACAATGTTTATTCTTCCAATCCAAGAGCATGGAATGGTCTTCCATCTTTTTGTGTCTTCTTCAATGTCTTTCACGAGCGTTCTGTAGTTCCTCGAGTACAGATCCTTTACCTCTCTGGTTAGGTTTATTCCCAGGTATCTTATGGTTCTTGGTGCTATAGTAAATGGAATCGATTCTCTAATTTCCCTTTCTGTATTTTCATTGTTAGTGTATAAGAAAGCCACTGATTTCTGTACATTGACTTTGTATCCTGCCACGTTGCTGAATTGTTGTATGAGTTCTAGTAGTTTGGGGGTGGAGTCTTTTGGGTAAGATACAGATGTAGTGAAAAGAAGGGCCATCTGTACCCCAATGTTTATAGCAGCAATGGCCACAGTTGCCAAACTGTGGAAAGAACAAGATGCCCTTCAACGGACAAATGGATAAGGAAGATGTGGTCCATATACAGTATGGAGTATTATGCCTCCATCAGAAAGGATGAATACCCAACTTTTGTAGCAACATGGGCAGGACTGGAAGAGATTATGCTGAGTGAAATAAGTCAAACAGAGAGAGTCAATTATCACATGGTTTCACTTATTTGTGGAGCATAACAAATAGCATGGAGGGCAAGGGGAGATGGAGAGGAGAAGGGAGTTGAGGGAAATTGGAAGGGGAGGTGAACCATGAGAGACTATGGACTCTGAAGAACAATCTGAGGGTTTTGAAGCAGCGGGGGGGTGGGAGGTTGGGGGAACCAGGTGGTGGGTATTGGAGAGGGCACGGATTGCATGGAGCACTGGGTGTGGTGCAAAAACAATGAATACTGTTACACTGAAAATAAATAAATTAATTAAAAAAAAAATCCTCAGGCCTCTCCCAGTAATTCAGAATCAGCAGGTCAAACGAACTCTGGCATCTGAATTTTTAAAACTATACAAGTGTTTCTACAGCACAGCAACCTGTAATATAAAATAGTACCATTTAAAATGAAACCAAGCAAAAGATACACAAATGGTCATAACAGCATTACTCATATAGCTCAAAATGAAAACAATTCAAGTATCCATGAACTGGTAGGTGGATAAGTAAAATGTGGTCTCTCCATACAATAGAATATTATTCTGCATAAAAAGGAAAAGAAGTCCTGATACATACTAGAAAATGAATGAACCTTGACAACATTATGCTAAGTTAAAGAAGCCAGGCAGAAAGAACAAAATGTTATGTGATTTCATTTTTACAAAATGCTGAGAAGAAGAAAGTCTATATAGAAGAAGTTTATCAGTGGTTCCTTAGGGCTGGGAGCATGGTTAGATTGAGGAGTGGGGTGTAATAGCTAAGGGGTACTGGGTTTTGGGGGAGTGACTGATGAAAATGTTTTGGAAGTAGATCATGCTGATGGTTGCACAAATCTGTGACTATACTAAAAAGCCAGTAATTGCATACTTCCAGTTGGTGAATTTTGTGATGTCTGAATTAACATCTCAGTATTATATTTTTAACATGACAACCAAAAATTAAACATTTAATTTCATTATATGACTGAGAAGTAAATTAGACAGAATTACCTGACTAACTAAATTAATATGGAAAGGACTTTAGAGAAGGATAGATAATGATACTTGCCTTCTTAAAAATATTTTATTTATTTGAGAAAGAGAGAGTGTTAGCAGGGAGAGGAGCAGAGGGAGAAGGAGAAACAAACCTAAACCAACAGCAAAAGCCCGCGGTCCCGGATCCCTAACAGAAAGCCAACAGATCATCGCTAAGTCAACCCATGGTAAAGCCTACCACAGAGAAAGTTATGACCATGGGTCGAGACCATCCATTCAACTTTTTAGCAGCTTGTTCTTAGATAACCAAGGGTCCTCAGACATCTTAGGAAACATCTTACAGAAAAATAAAAAGGAAACACAATGGTCACCTGTTTGTCCTCACTTGACTCAATCTCTCAGAAGCGCTGGACCCTCTTCTGTGAAAAATGCTCCTCCTTGGCAGCCTTCATGCCACACACTCCTGGTCTCCTTCTGACTCTGTCCATCTTGGCCTCTTCAGGTGGCCTCTGCTTCTCCTCTACCCAGCTTTAAGCTTGGACTACCTCCGAGCCCGGCGTCCTTCCTGTCAACCCTCCCTCTTTACTTTAGCCCCATCCACATGCCAGCAGACCCCACATGTGCATCTTCAACCAGACCTCAGTGAGACACACAACTGTCTACCTCACTTCTTCACTTAGATATCTCATTCAGACCTAAAAACCCCCTGAAAAGACAGTCCTCCACCAAAGTGAATGCATACATCCAACAACCAGAAACTCCATCCCCACACCCACATTCAATCTATCAGCAAGTCTTACCAATTCTTCCTCCAAAATAGACCCTAAAATCATCCACTTCCATGCAGTTCTATCCCACCACCCTAGTCCAAGTTGCCATGACTTCTCATCTGTATTACTATGGGAGTATGCACCCTTTTCGTCCATTCATCCCACAGTAACCAAATGACTTTTCAAAAAGGAAATAAGATTACTTCTCTGCTTAAACCAGTTACAATGTTTCCACTGCATGTAAGACAGAATCCAGAGCACCACCATGGCCCATGGGATGTCCACCTGCAACTCCCACCTCCTATGGTACCTCCACCCTTCACTGCAACAATGTGGGCCTCGTGGCAGTTTTAGAACTTTCCACATTCTTTCCTGCCTCAGGGACTTTGCACTTCACCTTCCCTTTGCCTGAAACAGTCTTCCCTCTACCTTTCCTTCTCGTCTTCAAGACACAAGTGACCTAAATGTCCCCACCAAGAAATGTACCTTAACACCAAGGCACCATGTCTTGAATGTAGTAAGTAAACTAACATGACCCCGTTAATAAACACCTATACCAAATAAAACTCCCATACCAAACTCCAATGCCAAATAAAAAAGAATGAATTGCATGTAATAGCTTTTCTTTTTTTTTTTTTTTTTTGTAATAGCTTTTCTTAACTGTGAATAGCATATATGAAATGTGTTGCATTTAAGTTGGTCAAAGCCAAAAAGGTGTTTCACTAAAAGGGAAGATTTTCTTCCTCATATAAAACCTTATTAGCAATTGTGAAATCTACATGTTACCTTTGGAGAAGGAATTGCCACTAGACCTTCGATGTTAACCTAGGCACTAAGAGGTCCCGAATGTCATTACCTGAAGAATGCTGACCTATGAAAGACAGCACAGCCACATGCCTCTGAAACACACCCATCTCTATAAGGTAGGCTTTTGAGTTGTTTCTCCTACAATGAGAATTAATTTGGACTCAGTCATCACAAATCTCTTTTGAAATGAAGCTGAGGACAAGCAAACAAATTAATTAAGGAACAAATGAATTAAACTAATGTGTACTTGTCTTGACCGGTGGAGAGTCATGTGTGAGATTCTTGGGAGAAGTAATGATGCAGTGGCTGGTGCGTGGACTCAGCCAGGTGATCTCCATCAGACAAATTCAGGATATTGGCTTTATCAGCCTAATTCCGTATTTAACTGACATAATTATGCATAATCAAAGATAAGACAACACCAGAAGAGAAAAAGAGGTTGAGATTTATCTTGTTCTTGTGTCTGGATCTCACCCTTCCCCTCTCTAAAAAAGCAAAGTTAACTCATTTTAAATAGCAAGAATTAATACAGGTGATATATTATTATAAAATTAACTAAAATAAGCTACACATGTATAAGACTTCATCAGAATAAGGAATATATTTAAACTATGTTAATGTAGAGATCATCTTTTATTAAACAGTCTTGGATGCTGACTTCTAGCTTCATTTATTATGACTTGTGTGGAGACCCAGTGGGGTGTTCAAGCTTACCTTTGAGCCTGGAGGGGGAGCCAAACCCAGAAATGAATAAATAATATTCTCTTCTTTTGCAGAGAAGAAAGAGTCAAAATCCTGGAAGCAAAGAAAAAGAATGTTTAAACCCCACTGCACAATTGTGAGCCAGAATATTTGCCTAAGTTGATCATTTTTATTTGTCATTAACTTAGAAGCTATAACTCAAAAGTTTATCCCAGTTTGTTTTTCAAAGATGATTAACCCCAAACGTTAAGAAATCTCTAACCATGAACTTTAAATTCGTTTTTATCATTTCACTGTGCGGAATACAAAGCAGCGAGAATGAGCACACACGCACGCGCGCGCACACACACACACACACCTGGTTGTGCTCAGGAACTGCTGACAAGACTCAGATATACAGAATGAAAGGATTCTCTGGAAGTGTCATATCCTCAGCTGGTTTCCTTAAAATTTGGCCCCATGGATTTGGACCCTGATCAGCTGAGACTAAGACAACACAGGATTTCTCCAGAGTTAGAGTAATAGCTTAGAGTAGAGTAATAGCTTACTATTACTCTACTCTCCAGAGTAGAGTAATAGCTTCTACGGGACAAGACCCATCTCAGACCTTCTGATACCAGCTGCCACAGGATCATGGAGGGCTTCCAGCGGCACCTGTTTTGGCAGAGTGGGAAAAACTACAGAGTGTGGTGAAACCTGGTAGCTGATTGAAATCTGGAGCTCAGTGAAGCCCCACTTTGCCCACCACCACATGCCCACCCAGGGGTCCAGCCCTAAACCCTCTCTTCAGGAGTGTGGTTGTCAGGAGCCCAGAAGAGTTTCATTTCATATAGTTAAAACATAGGAGCACTTCCCCAGACTACTTCGTGACTGCCTGTCTCTGTCGTCGGGGCAGTAATAAGTTTCTCCACGCACTAAGGGTGGTGTGTATGGCCCAGTTTGAACAGAGGGTGCTCAAACCAACTTAGTGTTACTGCCCACTCTACTCTTACGTGTGTTAAGAAGCTTAAAACCAAATACAAGCCACTGACATCGGGAAGAAAACGTTATGTATTCTTGTGTGTCAACCTTACCCAAAGCTTTATTATTTTCCTACCTGTTGCCCAGATTCACTCAGTGGCTAATTGTACTCTCTCACACGGAATGCATTTTTGTGAGCTGCCTCAAATCTTAGCTGGAGGAACTAGAGCATCAAGAGCAAGTGGTCATTTGGTATGGATTCCTGGAGCATGCATACGCAGGATGTTAAAGATTACATGATAGAGGGGCGCCTGGGTGGCTCAGTGAGTTGAGCACTGGATTCTTTGATCTCAGCCCAGGTCATGATCTCAGGGTCATGGGATCGAGCCCCACAACAGGCTCCAGGCTCAGTGGGGAGTCTGCTTGAGATTCTCTCTCTTCTTCTCCCTCTGCTACTCCCCCCAACCATGTACTCACACACTCTCTCTCTCTTTCTCTCAAATAAATAAATAAATCTTTTTAAAAAAATTATATGATAAAACACATTAGTAGTAGTAGAGAATAGATGAAACACAAGTAAATTTATTCCATTTTACAAAAATTCCATAAAGATCTGTAACTTCTCTAATTGGCCAACTCTAGAAGCTTTCAAATCAAGAAAGGTTTTCTTTTTTTTTTTTTTCAAGATTTTATTTATTTCAGAGAGACAGAGAGAGAGCATAAGTGGGGGTGGGGGGTAAAGGGGTTGGGGCAGAGGCAGAGGGAGAACCAGACTCCCTGCTGAGCAGGGAGCCCAACACAAGTCTCAATCCCAGGACCCTGGGATCATGTCTTGATTCAAAGGCAGATGCCAACCGACTGAGCCACTCAGGTGCCCCAGAAAATGTTTCTTATCATTGAGTGAGTTGTCCTTTGCTTCAACTTAGGTCTAAATACTTCTCTTTCTCTCTCTCTCTCTCTCTCTCTTTTTTTCCAAATAGCTTTTCTAACTTCCAAGGACTGAACAACAATTTGTCATTATTTTTGACTTGACACTAACAAATAGATACAGAAAATAATGAGTATGAAACGGTTTTCAACTACCAGCTGTGATAGTATAGCAGATTAGAGGCCCTGAAACACTGTCTCAAAAACAATTTTTTAAAGAAGTCAGATTAAGAGAAGAAGTATAGACATATTGCTGAGCTGACAAAGGAAAGATCATTGCAGGTGAGACCAGGGATTCTAAGAATAAGCACATACCAAGACAGAGTTTCTGACACAACCAGTAGATCTTTATGTCCACTTTGATGCCACAGAGAGTGAAGGCAGGAGTGAATGAAGCCTAGAGCCTAAGGTGTGGAGTTTTATAAAAGGAGGGCAGCAAGGGAGGGAGTGAAGGAGTCAGGCAGAGGGGCAAGGAAAAAGACAGTTTGCCCACGAAAGAATGACAGTTAGACTAACAACTGGCTTCTTAACACCAATACAGAAGTCAAAAGAAAGTAAAATCATAATTTTAACATCTTTTTTTTAAAGATTTTATTTATTTATGTGAGAGAGAGCATGAGAGGGGAGAAGGTCAGAGGGAGAAGCAGACTCCCCATGGAGCTGGGAGCCGATGCGGGACCCGATCGATCCCAGGACTCCAGGATCATGACCTGAGCCGAAGGCAGTTGCTTAACCAACTGAGCCACCCAGACACCCATAATTTCAACATCTTTAGAAAAAAACAACCATCGACCCAGAATTTTAGACCCAGTGAAACTATTTTTTTTCCATGAAACCATTTTTAGACATGAGAGTAAAACAGACATTTTTCTGAAAAATGTCATTTTCAAACAAAAATTTAGAGAATTTACCACCAATAGACAGTCACTTAAAGAAACTTTTATAGGCTATATTAAACCAAAGGAAAGTTATTTCAGATTTATTATCTATGATGCAAGAAGAAATCATGAACAAAGACATTAATAAATATGTGTGTAAATCTAACCCTTAACAAGTATTGACTATAAAACAATCACTAGAAATGCCTAATTTGGGTGCCTGGGTGGCTCAGTGGGTTGAGCCGCTGCCTTCGGCTCGGGTCGTGATCTCAGGGTCCTGGGATCGAGTCCCACATCGGGCTCTCTGCTCAGCAGGGAGCCTGCTTCCCTCTCTCTCTCTCTGCCTGCCTCTCTGCCTACTTGTGAACTCTGTCTGTCAAATAAATAAATAAAATCTTTAAAAAAAAAAAAAAAAGAAATGCCTAATTTGTGGGGTGGAATGAAGGCCAGCCACCTAAAGTACTAAAAAAAAAACAAAATACATGTAAATAGGGAAACGGTGATTAAGGTCTTAAGGCTCTTTTAATGTTTGGTACACACATAGTTGTACATTCTGTTATTCCTCTTTAAGCTCTGTATTTTTATCACATGATACATTTCATAATAAGTTTTAGTGATGTGAAATAGTTTGTCCGGTAACATCTATGCTCTGAGAACGCCCTTCCCCCTCCCTAACTGGGCTTGTCTCCTGCCTCCCTCGCAGTCCTGAGGATGCTTGCCTGTGCTGAATGACCAAGGTCCCCTTCAACTGTGCTCAGGCCCAGGCAGGCACCCAGCCTCTACCTGGGCTAAGACCCATAGACTCCAATTTGGCATTGACAGACATGTCTGTATTACCAGTTAGTGTCCTCTGCCAGGCGGGTAACCCGGCCTCCACTACGCCTGGCTTTCCATCGGGTGTCTCCTTTCTCTAGCTAACGGATGTCAGCCATGCCCTCGGGATAATATCTTCATCCGTTCTGCATAGATAGAGCAGCAGGAGTTCGCACTGGCAGGGACAGGATGGTACTTAAAACTACCATCGACATCCAGTCCCCTTACTGCTGTGGTGCGAGAAACCCACTGCCCGTCCTTGAGGTTCCTGCTACCTGCCACCATCATCAGACGAGGCATACGAGTGACCATTCGAGATGAGACCAGTGATTCTACATACATAATAATTATTCTTATAGGAGGCATTTCAAGCTCGTGGGAAGACACACTGACTGACCATCCGGATTCATGCCATTTTAAACCTGACAGGGCCTTGGGAACCTTCGAGTCTCCTTTCAAAATCTGAACCTACAATACAAATAATCTTTTTTTTTTAAAGATTTTATTTATTTATTTGACAGAGAGAGTTTACAAGTAGACAGAGAGGCAGGCAGAGAGAGAGAGGAAGCAGGCTCCCTGCTGAGCAGAGAGCCCGATGCGGGACTTGATCCCAGGACCCTGAGATCATGACCTGAGCCGAAGGCAGCGGCTTAACCCACTGAGCCACCCAGGCGCCCTACAAATAATCATTTTTAACTATTTTCTGGAAACCAAGTCCTCTGCTTCATTAATGCACTTTTGTTAAGAGTGTCCACAGACTGCAGAAAAGCAAATTTAGCAAAGCTGTTCATAAGATACACTACTAATACCTCTCTGAAAGCAGAAATGAAAAGAATTAACATTAACAGTTAAACAAATAACTTATAGGCTCAGGACACCTGGTAGCTCAGTCGGTTAAGCATTCAACTCTTGATTTTGGCTCAGGTCATGGTCTCAGTGTCCTGGGATCAAGCGCTGAACTGGGCTCTGAGCTCAGCAGGGAGATGACTTCAGATTCTCTCTCTCCCTTTCCCTCTGACCCTCCCCCTGCTGGCACACACGCACTCTCTCTCTTTAAAATAAATAAATAAAACTTTAAAAATAATAATAAGGAGAATTTATAGACTCATCTCATTAGATCCATACTTGTAATAGGAAAAAATTATAAAATAATATTCAAAATATTCTATTACAAAATAATTCTATTACTGAATTCTATTCTATTACTGAAATATTACAAATATATATCCAAATATTAGAAAATAATCTTCTTAAAAAGTAGAAGTCTTTTTCTTAGGAAAGAGGAAAACTTTTCTTTTTCTTCCACAACTAAAATGAAAAAAAAATCACTAGATCACACCAAAATGGGATAAGAAATGACTTTGAGGTTTTCTTTTCATAGAAAAAGTAATTGCAGAACTTTTACCCTAAGAGTTAACATACGTTAAAAGCTACATATGTCAATATTTTCTCTACTATAACTAACCTTAATTTAAAAGGACAATTAAAATAAGCAAAAGTAAGAGATTTAAAATATTACTTTCACTGGAAAAGGATCAGAAGAAAAAATGAAATTATTCTTTTGATAATTTCAGAGTGCAGAAAACTTTTGAAAGTAAGACTCAGGATCAGGAAACACAAAGAAAAAGGATTCATGAATTTGTCTTCACAAAAAATGTTTTAAGTTCTGCATTCTAAAAAAAATCACTTTAAAATGACAAAAGAAAAAAAACGGGAAAAATTTATGCGACATCTGTGGTCATAAAAGGGCTACTTTCCCTCACAAATGAAGACTCTTACAAACCAATAAATATTACTTGTAACCCAACAGAAAAATAGCGAATCATAAGGGGGGAAAAGATAGCTTATAAACATAGGAAAAGATAGCCTCACTCACATAGACAGAAATCCAAGTCAGCTCTCATGCTCTGAAGTTATTTGAGTTTTTAAATGTTTCTTTTTTTTTTTTTTTTGGTTCTTTGCTTTAATCTATATGACCATATTTCTTCAATATGAATTATTATCGACTATTTCTTTAGCCTCTGTGGTATTTCCTGAACTGTGTGTATATTATTTCCCCAGAGAAAGCAAAATTAGCACAGAGATTCAAAGTAATGAGAATAATTTCACTGATCTAATAGCTAAACTCTTCTCTTTTTCTATCACAGGCTCTTGCTCTTTGGGCATTCTTTTTTTTTTTTTTTAAGATTTATTTATTAGACAGAGATCACAAGTAGGCAGAGAGGCAGGCAGAGAGAGAGAGAGAGAAGCAGGCTCCCTGCTGAGCAGCGAGTCCGATGCGGGGCTCGATCCCATGACCCTGGGATCATGACCGGAGCCGAAGGCAGAGGCTTTAACCCACTGAGCCACCCAGGCGCCCCTCTTTGGGCATTCTTATTGGCATCTCCAATTCTCTCGTATTTCTTTATGATCTCCAGTAACTTCTTTGAACTGGTTTCCCCATCTGGGTGGCTCAGTCAGGTGAACATCTGCCTTCGGCTGAGGTCATGATCCCGGGGGGCCTGCGATGGAGCCCCGCATGAGGGGGGGGGGTCCCTACTCAGCGGGGAGCCTGCTTCTTCCTTTCCCTCTGCTCCTCCCTCTACTTATACTCTCCCTCTTTATCTTTCTGTTGACTAGTCCCATTCGAGCCTATTGAGGGCAGCACCTCCCCCCTCCTTCCTTTCTCCATCATCTCTAAATGTTTCTTTTCAACAATTTGATTTACTAAACATAACTATAAACTCTGGAGGCAAAGGTGATTTTCTGGTGAAATGAACTATTAAATGTATAAAATAAAATTGCTATTGAATCAAAATGTCCAGAACAGTTTTTAAGCTATCTAGATACATTTCCACAAATTTACCTTGCATCTGTATTAGGATTTGACTTCTGCAAATCGTTCTTTATAAAAGTGAAAGCCGACCCTGTGTCTGCCTGGATTCATGAATGTGTACATCGTGAGGCTGATCAGAATTCCTTTCCAACGAAATGTCTACTCTGTTTGTATGAGTGACCTGCACTCTTCAAAATAAAATAAGGGACCTAAAATAACCCCAAGAACTACCAAATCACCATTTTATTGTTTCTATCCTTCTGTGAATCTTATGTATTAGTGACTCACGATGGACCTACCAACCAGGTATTAATAGAAATAAATCATGTCCTGAAAACCATCAACAAGTTCAAATGCTGCCTCCAAATTAGCCTCTTTTTTTTTAAGATTTATTTATTTTATTTTGAGAGAAAGAGAGTTGTGGGGGAGAGGCAGAAGGAGAAGGAAAGAGAGAATCTCAAGCAGACTCTCCACTGAACGTGGAGCTCATTAACCTGAGATCATGACCTGAGCTAAAATCAAGAGTCAGATACTCAACAGACTGAGCCACCCAGGCATCCCCAAATTAATCTGCTTTAAACAATTTCTGATAAACATACATGCAGAAGAATTTCCTAAGAAACCAAATACTCACCCCACAATACTGCTCTTCATTGAAGATCTGGGGGGGCAAAGGGATTCCATTTTGAGGTTTTTTCTCTCCAGGAACATTCTCCCTCATCCACTTCCTATTGTCTTCATCTCCAGCAATGTCTAATTCCTTAAAGTCGATCTTATTAGCTTCCAAAAAGCCTACTACTTCTTGCTGCTTCTTCCTAATCTGGTCAAGAGTAGAGAAGGATTACTATTAGACTAGGGGTTTTTCACAATGAATTCTGTTATGTTGAAAAGAAATTAAAAAAAATAAAAATAAAAATAAAAAAAAATTTAAAAAGACTAAGGGTTTTCTTATGTTTTGCTTATATTTACATAAATTAAATCTTTTCTCCAACTATACCATGCAACACAAATAATCTTGCTGTTTTTTAAATAAGGAAAACAATAAAGTCATACCTCTTGGTTATAAAGGGTCAACAGAGTCATTGTTTAAATTCTAAATTTTTAATCTCACCAATGTTTCAGTCATGGCATAATCAACCTAATACGAATAGAGAGGTCCTCATCATAGCTTTTACTTGAGGTCTTTGATATGCTTTTAAATTCTCTGCTAAGCCTTAATGCCAAAAAACAAATAAAAATTGGTTATGAAGAAAAGGGAGGACTGGGAGAAGAGCAAGAAGGAAAGATTGAAAAGAAAATTCTTCACGAAACTCAAATACCAAGTACACCCAACTAAAAAAGCGCTTCACTCACAGTTATGAAAATAGGCATGTGAGTCACATTGAACAAAAGTGCCTTCAAAAATAATAAAGGAGATTGGAAAGCCCAGGTGGAGATGAGTGAAAGGCAAAAGGACAGAGGAAAAACCAGGAAAAGCCTGGGTCTCCCAGTCACAAACAGCAACACAGTAAAGTACCCTGTCCTCCCTCAGATTTCTCCGTTCCACGCACACAGAGAGCGCCAGCCTCGCCTGAGAGACAACTCTTGGTGCCCCTCTCCCCACCCTGGGCTCTCGTCTACCAGCCACTATTGCTCAGGAATGTGGCCCTCTTCACAGTTCAGACTCCACCCCCAGAGATAACTCCAACCATTCTCTCTCTTCAAAGAATTCACTCCCAAAATGCACAATGCCCTCTTTCATACACACTGGTAAACACCGTGCCACTCTATGGACCCCACTTAGGAGCCTCTGGGAGAGAGGTCTAGAGTGGTCCCCCCACCAGTCATAAACACTTGTTTACCCACTCTACTCTGCACAAGACAGTGTACCAAGTTCTTCGTGTGAACAGATTCACAATCTGCTTATGCGGGTGAAAAAAATGCAAAGAACTCATTTGTACATTCTAGGCAGTGAACGTACTGAAGATGATCAAGAGGTAAAATAAGTCATTTCTTAAAAATCAGCATAAAATGTTAGAGATTTTCTTCGACACAAAAACAATATCTTAATTTGTTAAATCTTCTCCATAGAATGTTGTCTCATATCAAAACAAACCATTAAAACTGTTGTATAGGGTGTGAGGCCCCGTCATTCTCATGTAACTCATTCATCAGCAGAGGTACTAGAATTTGAGAATCCCAAACAAACACTACAAAAGGCTCATGCCCATCCCAAACCTAGTGTCTAGTCTTAACGACCCTTCTTTGGGTCAAACCCAATTCCTTTCGTAGATTTGTATACCAAAAAAAAAAAATTATTTTATTCATTTTTGCCAAAATGAATGAGCCTATCAATGACTCATGTGTAGAGTATTTCTTTCTTAATATAAGGAAAAATAAAGTACATATAGACACTTAAGCCCTGGAAGCAGGTCACAACCAAAACCAAACTAAGTTTTGGATTATGCAGAATTTGGTGGTAACATTATTGTATATATTCTATGAATTTTAAATATGACATAAATGAATATAAACAATTTTTTACAAGTAAATGTAAATTGCAAGTAATATTGTATATATAAGTTAGTTATCCAGGTTTGTAAAAATGGTAATCACACATTTACTTTTTAAGTAAATTTATTTTATTTATTTATTTATTCCATCAACATAGCAAAGGTAATGCGTCTAAAAGTATTAGATCTATAAATTGAAGGCCACTGTTAGCTACAATACAACACTTTATCAGTAAGACTCAGTTTGCAGCAAGTGTGGACAAAAATAAAAATTAAAGTCCTACAGAAAGGTGTGGGGTGACAGAATTTCCCCTAAGCTTCTGGCACAAGCTTCTGGCACATTCCTGAGTGTCACATTTATCAAAAGCAAAGGAGGAGCTCATGTTTCTCCCCCATGTGCCCTCCCCCAAGGCTAAGCTAGCATAGCCCTCAGACCTTCTACTCCTCTCCCAAAACTGCGATCCAAATTCCATAGCTTCACAGCTGAATTTCTGAATATTACAAAATCCCATCAGACCAGATGACAGGTCATTGGAACTAAATTACTATTTTAATTAATCATGCTTTCTATACATACTTTCCACCTTGTCCATAATTATCTGTGCCACTCCATAAATTACTTATTCCTTTGGCTATTTCCAGAGATAACTTTGCTGTTTGAAGAGTACAGATTTCTTCATTTTAGGCAGGTTTATTTTTAGTTAAAGATTCAGAAGGCAACATCCTTTATTATGTCCCAACCCCTGTCTTCCTCCTCAAATACACTCCTGGGATCCCAGATTAGCCTGGCCGCCTCACCAACATTATTTCCACCTCTATTAATCATGCCTCAAGACTTGAGATGAAACAGAAGGATTTCATTTTATTCCACAATTTCTGAATAGGTGAAAAACCATTCCCAAAGCCCTGACTTGTGTTTCTGCAGTTAGAAAGTCAAAGAGGGATGGAGAAAATGGGAGGGGAGGATCTGTTTGCTGTTACCTTTTGCAAGACAAGTAATTGCATCTGCAGGAACTTAACAGACTGTTAATTGCTTGACCTTGTGTTAATTGCTATTTCTCAGCCCCTCACCCCTCAAAAAAAGAGAAGAAAAGTAAAATCGGTTTCTATCCTCCCCAAACACCAGTACTTTATACTGGGTTAAAGGCATCACTGATCTCGCTGTTTGGAGCACCTGAGTTCTGCTGGGGGCTGAAGTTGAGTCTTAGGATGAGCCCAGAGGAGGAGAGAGCAGTGCAAGGAGTACATAAGCTCACCTGGTGACATGGTCACCTCTGCCCATACCTTGATGACCACCCTGAGTGGGGGCCTCCTCTCCCACAGTCTTCCCTCCTATTCAAGGAGCCCCACAGACCCTCTCAGGAAAAGTGCAGCTCTTTTCCACGTGGCCTCCTGAGCCGACCCCCAAGGACATCAGCTCCCAGAGGACATTAGTTCCCTTTGTGGCCCCCAGGGGAGAAGCACACATGGCACCCAGTGGTTCTCACCACAGACACCATCTCCTCCCCACCTCCTGCCCCTTCTCCTCCCTCCAACAGCACCATGACCAGTGCTGGTCCCACAGGCTGTACCTTCTTTCCAGGCAGCCCCTCTGGAGGATCTGGGGTCCCTGATGTCTGGGTCACTATGGGTCTTTGGGACTTCAGCAGAGGCTCAGAGAGCTCTGTGTTTCCTATCCTGTTATATTTACTCTTAAGAAAGTGCTCTTTTCCAGAAGTCGCTGGCCACTGTTGGTTACCGTAATGTGTCAGAGTGATCTTTTGAGTCATTTGCTTGGCACCTCCCTTTTATTGTCTTGTACAGTTAGGAGCTTGTCCGACCGAGGTCACTGCACTTAGTGAAAAGAACACTGCATTTGACGACCTGCATGGAGGCGCCCTGCATTTCTCCCCTGGCTCAGAAGGCTGCTGTCTGAGCAGGGGTCCACTCCTGAATGGCCTCGTCTGATAATGGGAAAAGCACCACCCTCCTCAGGTTCTGATGAGAACCAAGGAACATCACATGATGTGTGGCCGAGAATCTTGGACAAGGTGAGAGCCTGCACAGGGTTATCTCACTGACTTGTCCTGACTGCCAAGTCAGGTTAAGTAATCTGATCACCATCTTAAAATAACAAAGCTAAGGCACCAATGAATTAAGGAATTTTCCAAGATGTACACCAGGATCCATTTCATTCAAGGGCAGAGTTTTTGCCCACTATATTTACACTCAAGCAAGACTGGAGGAAATGATGGAGAAACCCACCCTCAGGGTCTATCCTCAAAGGTCATGGTTCCAAGGGCTGTGCATCTTGAAAACAGCAAGGACAGTCCTCTCTCCCTTTGTCCCCCAGCCCACTGTGGCACTGGCCTTTGGGAAAACACAGACCTGTTCCCACTCCCAAGTTCTCTTCACTATGAAGTTCACTACGAAGGAACTTCATTATGAAGTTCCTTCATAAATCGGTAAAACATGTGACATTGCCTTATTGTCAACCATTCAGAGACATGACACACAGCTGCATATGCATAAGCCCTTATAAGAAGACATTTCCTTTTTCATTTATTTCATTCATCCCTTAGAAATCATATGACCTCACTGACTAAGTTACAGGCAAGAATCCATTTTTAAAGTAAAGAGACTAAAGAAACAAGTAGTAAAGTGTTTGCAGACTGACCACCACACACACTGGCAGCTGCTCTGGGGTTCTCCTGCAAAGAAGCTTCTGGGTGAAGTCCCCCCACCCAGGGAAAATCATTAGCACTGATACCATGGGAATAATCAGTGTTGTCCTTCTTTAGGATAACAAAGAAATTATTCCACCCATTTGGCTTGGGACAATTATTCTGACACATAATCATCACAGACTCACATATACTAATATTAGCTAATAATTATAACAACTACAATAATACTGATGAACATTAACTAACATTGGAGTGCCTGGGTGGCTCAATTGGTTAAGCATCTGCCTTTGGCTCAGGTCATGATCCCCAGGATCCTGGGATGGAGCCCTGTGTGGGCTCCCTGCTCAACAGGGAGCCTGCTTCTCCATCTTCCTCTGCCCCTCCCCCTATTAGTGCCCCCTCTCTCTCTCTCAATCTTTCTCTCTCTGTCTCTCTCAAATAAATAAAATCTTTTTTTTCATTTATTTTCAGCACAACAGTATTCATTGTTTTTGCACCACACCCAGTGCTCCATGCAATCCGTGCCCTCTCTAATACCCACCACCTGGTTCCCCCAACCTCCCACCCCCCGCCCCTTCAAACCCCTCAGATTGTTTTTCAGAGTCCATAGTCTCTCATGGTTTATCTCCCCTTCCAATTTCCCCCAACTCCCTTCTCCTCTCCAACTCCCCTTGTCCTCCATGCTATTTGTTATGCTCCACAAATAAGTGAAATAAAATCTTTTTAAAATATATTTTAAGCATTAACTAACATTAGCTAACAATAATAATACCTAATACTTAAAACAACTATAATATTAAGTAGCCATATGTAATAATTATAAAATTAACTAGTAATTATAATATGTATTAAGCACTGATTAAGCACGGGACACCCTGTAAGGCACCCAGGAGCTTATTTCCTAAATCCTCATGGCAATGCCATGCGACGAATACTATTCTTACCTCATTTTACAGATAAGGAAATTGAGGCTTAGCAAGGTGAAATAACTTTCCCAAGGTCAAAGAGTTCCAAGAGACAACAAAACATTTGCTTAGGGAACCAGAATTAATGTGGCTTTTCTAAAATCCTAGCATGAACAGTGCCTCTCCAGTCCCTCTGAGGCTAACTCAATCATATGCCCAGACTTCAAGAATATAAGACCTCAAATAATCCTAAGAACTCCACAAGTTTGTCCACCATCTCTGGAAGGAGGCATAGGGCACTCACACATGGCCTACAGAGCATGGAGATTAGTCACTGGTAAAAGTTTCCGTAAAGCATCAACAGGATACTGAGAGCCCACTAAAGCCATTTTCTTCGGTAAAAATTATTTTTAATCTAATAATCCAAAAATGTGCTCTTTATGGATCAACTAAAAGTTTTGAGGTCATCAACAGCCACAAAAGATTTTGTGGTTTTACATCTGGAATTTTTCCTCCTCTGTTTCTGTTAAAAGATGCTCCACAGATACTAAGTGGTTGCTGATGGGTTGTGCTCAGAGCAACAACCAGCCTCTTCTTTCTTGTTCTCTTCCTGTCCTCTGGAAACTGCATGAACTTTCAGGGCTGTGGGTGGGGGCATTCAAGAGCCAGCACTGGGGCTGCTCCCAGCCAGCTGCTGGCAAGGGTATCATCCCAGGCCCTGAGTGAAATCCAAGCTGCAGGATGGCCCAGGAACTAGATATAAAAGGAAACAGCCCCCTTGCCGGTGCTGTTTCATCAGGACTGATGAAATGGCTTCCTCCTACACTCCCCCCCAAAAGCCTCAAATGCTCCCAGAAATGTCAGTCTCCAATAGATAACTGCAGGTTCAAGCCTAAAATCAAAGACTGAAGCATTGGCAAGGAGAAGTGGCAGCTTCAGTTACCCTTCTTTCTTCAGGCAGGTCTATCCTGCACAGAATGAAGGCAGAAACTGGAGGGGTAATTCTGAGCCTGGTCCCAGGGAAAGCAGAGGCCGCTTTGTGGGGTGGGCTCCTCACACCTATTTTTGGCCCATTTGAATTCCTAGAACCTTTGAAACTGTGGCCTTGGAGATGTTTTTTCTTGTCACTGTGACATCATTTTCCCCAAATAATACTATTACGCATGCTAACTTTACACTTTTGGTATAGTTACATCACACACCTAAGTACAATTGACCCTTGAACAACGCAACTTTTAAACAGCACGGGTCCACTCATACACAGATTTTTTTTCTATAACTACCGAAAGTATGGTAAATGTATTTTCTCTTTCTTACAGTTTTCTTAATAACATTTTCTTTTCTCTAGCTTACTTATTGTAAGAATACAGTTTATATTACCTATAACATACAAATATGTTAATGGACTGTTTATGTTGTCAGTAAGCCTTCTGGTCAACAGTAGACCATTAGTGAAGTTTGGGGGAGTCAAAAGTTATACATGGATTTTCCACTATGCAAGTGTGAGTGCCCCTCTCCCCTCCCCGAATTGTTCAAGAGTCAACTGTAATTACCTCCAGGAGTCATTTTGGTAATCTGGTTCATCACACCCTCCAAATATTGTGACACAAAGTGTCATTTATTTGCAACTTTAAATTAGTCTACGCCTTACAGAATGATCGGCAGAAACACTCCACCAAAAAAAAAAAAAAAAGGCTTTGCTTCTATAATATATGCGAACACAACACAAATCACATGTTTAAAAATTCTAGTATCACACACGCCCCCTTCCTGGAATCCCTTTCAAACCCAGCTAGCCCGGATCACTCATTTTCCACACGTCTTCAACACGGTTAAAGCAAACGCAGAAAGCAAAGGCACGCAGGCTTACTGCGGAGCTACGGCTGACTTACACTCTCCTCACAAAAGAAACTTCAGGCCAACGCTGGGCCAGACCCGCTGCTTCTACTCTCTGGTCTGAGTTTCTCAGAAAATCCAACAGTATGAAAGCCCCACCAATTCCAGCAGACACCTACCGCTATGGACCCAGAAGATGTGGCAACAAACACTTTGATAACCATTTTGACAGTCGGAAAAAGGGCTCCCCCCAACACACCCCCGTAAGGGAACGCGGCGTTAGACGGATCCCGACCGCGGCCCCGGCCGGGCAGGTAGCAGGTGCCAGGTAACAGCAGGTGCAGGTGCCAGGTGCGAGCTGGCGGCCGCCCAGCGCGGTCTGAGCCCCTGAGCCTCCCGCCGCAACTTAAGCCCTGCGACTGCCAGCAGCGGTGCGGGCGGCTCGGGCTTTCCCGGCCATTGGCCGGGGGCGAGAGGGGGATCTGCCAGGCGAAGATGGGATTGGTGGATAAAAGCAGCCACTGACTTTAAACGCCGGACAACAGCCCCTAAAAGGCCAGGCTGCGCCGCGCACCAATCAGGCCGCCGAGCACCAATCAGCGCTGCGCAGGCATAGACGCCTGAGGTGACAGCCGAGCGCCTGGGCTCTGGAAAAGCCCAGAAGACGCCAGCTCGTCCCCTGGGGAGGCTGCGTTTGCGAGGCTTTGGGCAAACGGACCTCAAGGGTCGGAACAGCCACACAGGCCTTGAAATAAGCAAAGGCGTCCTGACTTTCACATTTTCGTCGGTTAAAAAAAAAAAAAAAGGTGAACTCTTATACAAGAGATGCCTTTAGACGTGGCCCACTTCCAGTTTTCTCCCTTCCCCACCTGTTGCTCCTAAAGAACGAAGCTGACAGACCACAGAGGTGTAAGGTTTCACTGACATCCCAGACAAGGCAGGGCGGCAGAGGCGGGCTGTCAGCAGGGATGAGTTCAACAAGCGAAATGTCTTCACTATCTCAGAGACGTGGGGAGAAAATAAGTTTGTAACAGTCTCTCTCCGGGGATGAGTTCAACAAGCGAAATGTCTTCACTATCTCAGAGACGTGGGGAGAAAATAAGTTTGTAACAGTCTCTCTCCGTCTTCTTTATGTAGATAATTAAATCGAGTAAAAAGCCCAAATGCTACCGTCCAATCTTTCTGATGAGTTTCAAAATCAAGCTCAAGAACATAGGACACAAAGGCACCAAGGGATCATTTACTCCTCTTAGATAACTGAGTCTCTTCTCCTCTCTCACTTTCTTTTTATTCTTAAGTCCTGTGCTGCTCCCTGAGGAGGTGGTTACTGGCATGCTGGAGCAGGGAGGGGTCTGGAAGCCTTCTCTACCTGCCCCCTAACCCTAGAGGCCTACTCCCCTCCCCTGGGATAGGTGCCTTTGCTGAGAAAGGACACCCCATCCCTGCAACATAGCTCAAATCCATTTACATAGAACGAATGATTGAGATGACTGCCATTTAACTTAGAGCCTCACTATGCAAATTTGCTCCCCAAATTAGGCCCTTGCTGAAGATGATTAATGGCTCCCCAGATTTAAGTCATTAGCATTGTAAATTTTATTTTCAAGCCCACCAAAGATTATAGGACATTTATGCTCCTCTTTCTTGTATTTTCAAAATCATAAAGCAAGTAAATACTATTTTTGTCATACAAACTATTTTTTCAACACCTTAGTCTCAAATTCTACCACATAAGCAAACCATTTTTCTCCAAACACGACTGAAGAGAGTAAAAAGCTATGCATATTTCTCAATGATTTTGTAAATTAGTAACATAAACTATAGTTGATCCTCATGTGCCCTAAAGAGTACACAACTGCTGATCGTCGTACAGGGCAATGCTGCCTTTAACAATGACACACCCCCTCCATCCACATGCCCTAGGGAGAAAGAATAGCCTATTTGAAGTAAGAGCTAATAATTTTTAAATGTTTGCCACGTGCCAGGGGTACTCTAATTGTTTTTGCATAAACCACTCCCTTAATCTGCACAACACTAACACTGGGTCCTACTCCTATCTTAATCTGCACAAAAGTAGCACTGGGTCCTACTCCCATCCTTTCTCAAGGATGAGGATAGGAAATGGTGCATCCAAAACATGAACCCAACCCATCCACACCAGAAAAACTCCTCACACACTACCCTCAAATTCCTAGTACACCCTCTTTACACAATGCATTATTTTTAGAAGTTTACCTTTTTAATAATGACCATGAAAATGTACAAATTGGGACTTTGAAAACTCTAGCTGAAAGATCTTTTCATTTATGACAGTGGCCCCAATAAACTTCAAGATAATTAATAGGAATACGAAACATTCCAAGTGAAGCTCAACAAATCTCTGCTTAAAATAAAAGCTCAACAAATCTCTGCCTTAGAAAATTCCCTTCAGGGATGCCTGGGTGGCTCAGTCAGTTAAGCATCTGCCTTCAGCCAAGGTCCTGATCCCGCCGTCCTTGGATCAAGTCCCACATCAGTCTCCTTGCTCAGCAGGGAGCCTGCTTCTCTCTCTCCCTCTGCTGCTCCCCCTGCTTGTTCTCTCTCTCTCTTTCTCTCTCTCTCTGGTAAATAAATAAATAAAATCTTTTTGAAAAGAAAGAGGGGTGCCTGGGTGGCTCAGTAGGTTAAGCCTCTGCCTTTGGCTCAGGTCATGATCCCAGGGTTCTGGGATCAAGCCCCATATCTGGCTCTCTGCTCAGCGGGGAGCCTGCTTTCCACGCTCCTCTCTCTGCTTGTCTCTCTGCTCACTTGTGAACTCTGTCTGTCAAATAAATAAAATCTTTTTAAAAAAGAAAGAAAGAAAGAAAATTCACTTCAAAAAAGCTGTGTGCTCTACTGAAGAGGTAAAAGGTTTATCATTTCACATCCCTAGCCCTAGATGCTAAGTGAAAATAATGTTACTTATTTTGTTAAAGAATTTTTTTCAGCTTTATTTCAGTATAATTGACAGATACAATCCTAAGATAGCTGAAGTGTACATTATGATGATTTGTGGAACACTATGAAAGAAAGATTTCGTCAAATTTTAATGATAAAAGTGTGAGGTGTTGACTCCAAACTGGGCAGAGATTCTCAGATGATCCTAAAATAAATGATACCATATGCTATGTTCTGTTTACATAATGTGACAGGTAAACTAAAATGAGAAATAAATGGATATTTGTATTGCGTAGAATGACAGTGGTGATCACCAGAGTAACAGCAGTGACTTGAATAGTGTCTCCCCTCAAAATTCATGTCCACCCTAAACTTCAGAATGTGACCTTATTTGGAAACAGGATCTTTGCAGATGACATTGGTTGAAGATCTTAAAATTAAATCATCCCGGATTTCGGGTGGGCTCTCAGCCCAATAACTGATGTCCTTACAAGAAGAGGAGGGGGGCGCCTGGGTGGCTCAGTCGGTTAAAGCCTCTGCCTTCAGCTCAGGTCGTGATCTCAGGGTCCTGGGATCGAGCCCCATGTCAGGCTCTCTGCACAGCAGGGAGCCTGCTTCCCCCCCCCTCTGCCTGCCTCTCTGTCTACCTGTGATCTCTGTCTGTCAAATGAATAAATAAAATCTTTAAAAAAAAAAAAAAGAAGAAGAGGAGGCACACAGAGAGAGACAGAGAAAACACCGTGTGAAGACAGGGCTGCAGACACAGGACTGATCCGCCATGAGCCAAGGAGGCAAGGAAGGATTCTTCCCAGGAGATTTTGAAGAGAGGGAGTGTAGTCCTGCCAACACCTTGATTTCAGACTTCTTGCCTCCAGAACTGTGAGAGAATAAATTAATGTTGTTTTAAGCCACTGGGTCTACGGTGATTTGTTACAGTGGAGTTAACCAAACTAATACAGAGAAATAAAGGTGCATGTTACTATTTAGCAGAATTCCTAAAGGCAGTTCTTCGGCTTTGTACTCACTGGGTCTCTCCCCTTTCATAACACACATGGATACCGATGGAAAGGAAACATCCCCTTTCAAAGGCAGAAACATAGGCTATAGACAAGAACAGCTAGCAAAGCAGAGGAGAGACCATTTGGATGGGAAAGGAAGCTCTGAGGGGCCTCCATCTTTCAGGATCATCCAGTCCTAAGTACAAGGGTTGGAATGTTCACTTAATTATAAGCTGCCACTTTTGTTACTGTCCTGGGAGCACCAGCAGCCATAAAGCCAGCATCTTTCAATGAATGTCGATCTAGGGTGACACCTGTCTGCTGTATGTCCTCCTAGAGATGCTGCCCAGCTCACCACCAACAAAAAGTGCCACCACCCACCTTCTAGGGATAACTCGCCACCTAAGGTTGTTGAAACACAACCCACCAAAATTAGAGTGGACACTCTAACAGCACAAGAAGGAAGGGGTGGTGGCGTGAAGGGGAAGGCTTGCCCCCTCCTTGCCCTAAAAAACTAGATCTAAACAGTCAGTTTGGAAACACCCACTACCCCTACTACATAAAATCCAAATCAAAAACTCTAAGTGGTAAATGTGGTAAATTTGACTGTATACAAATATCAAAATACATGTCAACAAAATTTAAAACAAATTGGAAATATTTACAACATATACCACAGACCAAGTTTTCGTATAGGAGACCTGAGTTTCACAGAACAGCGAAAGTTCTACAAAGATGGACACCAAGTGAAAAATGGGCAAAAGGCAGGAAAAAGCAAATAGCAAAGTCCAAAATGTCCCTAAAAATACTTTTAAAATGTTTCCTAGCAAAGATGTGAATAAAATCCAAGTGTCAACTTTTGACACTTGGGCAAACATCTTTTAAATAAACTAGATTAAAAGATTATCCCCATCATTGGTTAAAGATTGGGAGACATTTGCCTAGAAGGCAAACTTTCATATACGTTCAGAGAGCCTCAAAGTGGGCATTTCCTTTGATCCTTCAATTTCATATGTAGGATTTATTCTAAGGAGTCAGGAGTGTCGTCTGTTAACCTTAAACATCAAACTGCGAGTTATTTTGCTGGCAAACGGATTTAGTCAGGAATAACAAAGAATTGCAACTTGGGACATTCAAGCCATGGCAAAACCGTAGACAAATCCAACCAACAAAGGAGAGGAACATGATTTTATGGAGAAGGAAGTTGGGAGGGGTTCAAAAGTCCTTCTGAGAAAGCAAGAGTTCAGGGTGATGACTCTCTCACTGACTTGAGTAACAAGGGTGGCCAATTTCTTGTAGGAGACGCCATGCACATCTTCCCCTGTTGGGCCCATGATTGATCATTCCTTCCTGTTGACACTCTTCTGTTGGGGAATCTGTAACCGACACTTCTGTTGGAGCCTGTAATTGAGCTGAATGACAAGGGCTTCCCCTTCTAGCCTCAGACCTACTTTAGCGATGTTTCCCTTTATTAATTTTCACACCTTAAAGACTCACTTATAGGGATATTCAACATGGCATTAATACATACGGGGGGGAGAGAAAAGGAGCGGAAGGCAGAGAGAAAGAGGAAAAGTAATATAAATGTTCATTAACTCTGCCTATGCAGTCGCTTAAAAGTCCTATGTAGTCATTAAAAATCACCTGCAATTCCATCATCTAGGTGATTTTTAATTTTTCTTCGTACTTCGCTCTACATTCTAAATTCTATGCAACCAACATGCATTGCTTTGGGATCAGGTTTTCTTTCACCATAGAAATTCATCTTTATGAAGAGAGATTAACGGGAGTGTTCTGCTCTCTGTTCCCTTCTTCTCCAGGGAGAGACGAGTCTATACCCTCCCACCTGGGTCCACCCCCTACCCCAGGAACCTGGCGTCTACACCTGCTCGTGCCGCCTGGCAGCCAACCCGGAGTTGGGTCCGCGCACCTCCCGGCAGGGAACCGGACAGACATGCGCACTGGGCTCGGATTCAGAACACCAGCACGTGGGCGAGTGCGACCGAGAGCGTGAAGGGACAGCTGCGCGGCCGCGGGATCCGTTCGTTCGCCCCAGACGCGCCCGGGGCCACGGCGGGCCGCGGGAGGTTAAAGAGCCGAAGTCTCTACACTCAGCTCAGCAGTGCGCAAGCGCGCGGCCCTCGCCGCCCCGCCCCCCGGCTCGGCGTGTCCCAGGAGGCGCCGCGCGCGGGTTTCCAGAGCGACGCGCGGGACCGGGAGGCCGCGGGGTTGGCGCTGCCGCGGAGCCGCGCGGAGCAGGTAACGGCCCGGCCCTAGGCAGAGCCTCCTGCTCAAGCCTCTGGGCCTTTCGGTGCCTCCGGTCACTCAGCCCTGGCCCCTGCCCGGCTCGGGCCGCGCCGCCTGGCTCTCCCTGGAGTTGGTAACGTAGCGGGGCCGCCGGCCGCCTCTCCCGCAGAGCGCGCCCGCCCAGCCCGCACCGGGGGTCTCCGCCCTCGCCGCGCCGCCGGGGCCCCTCCGCACGCGGCCTGGCCGCCGGGGCGTTCTCGCAGGGGCGGCCCGCCGCGGCCCGGGGACCCGCGGCCGCCGTCAGCGCCGCCCCCCAGCAGCGGGCTCCGGCCAGTGCTTGGTTCGTGCGTGAATCTGCTGCCTTGAGGTTCGCGCCTGCCCACCCGCTTCAGCTTCGCTTTGCTTTTTTCCTTCTAACCTTAGCGTGACGTGTCCTCATCCCCAGCCCGAGAAAAGGGGAATTCCTTGACGTTTCTGCGGTGTATCATTTCCTGCCACCTGGTGCCAACAGGTGACTTAAGGCCAGCGTTCTTCTGCTGCGCAGCCCGGAGCCCTTGTGTCTGCACCCGCTCCCTGCGTGAATTCGTCCAGCCTCACAGGCTCAGAACCCTTCCCAGTGCCCACGAGCCCGAGACGTGTGTCTCCAGCCCCGACCCCCTCCCAGAACCTCAGACCCGGGGTCTCAGCAGCCTGACCTTCTCAACACGTGGGTGTCTAAGGCACGTCCTGACATTCCCACCAACCCGTGCTTGCCACACTTCGACCCACCCCGTCCCGGAAGCCGCTCTCCCCGGTTGTCTAGGCCCTGAGGTCCTCCTTGACTCCCGTTTTCCTCCCTCCCCACATTCAGTCTGTCAGCACATCCTTCACGTCACACCCTGGATCGATGCACAGCCCCACTTTCCCGCCAGCCCCCACTCCTCACCCCGGTCCAGGCCACCGTCAGCTCCCACCCGGATTGCTTCAGTAGCTGGCTGATTGGAATGTGGACACTCTGACTCTGTTCCCTTTCTCTGTCGTTGCCAGTGAATCAGGTTTCCTTGTAAGGATATGTGTTCCGTAGTTTACACAGATAAAGATAATTTTTAGTATGTATGTTGAAGATTGCAGCGTTTAAACAGGTAGCCAAAGCTACCTAAATGTGGGGGTGTTAACAAGCTAAAAATGGAAAGATGCCCCTTAGCTTTCTTGGGCGTATGACTGTGTCCCTGCATAGAACTTTGACAAGACCTTTTAAAACCATACAGAAGAGAAAGAATCCAGAGCCTCCGTCCAAGTGAGAAAAAGAAGACATGTAGGAATTTAGGTTCTGTCTACTCCCTACTCTTTGGTTTTTGGTTTTCTAGAGAAGCACCAAAAGAAGAAAATTGTAATGGAGACAGGTGATCAGCCCAGTGTTGGTCAATTTGACAGGGAGTGCCTGGGTGCCGGTACTCCAGTTAGTCAGTCCCAGAATGATGCAGGGTCCTTGTCCTCAGGGAGCTAATGTCCTGCACACACCTGTACCCTGCCAATCACAAACCGCCAGCTCCCATTTTTTGTTTTTCCATCAAGCGGAGCCCCAACTAACCAAAGTAGCATGGTAGGATCGCTGCAACTTGCAGAGGGGCTGTTTATAAACTTGCAAATCACAAACCTCCACTTTGCTCAGATTTGATCTCACACCTTACCCTCATGCAGTCACTTCCTAGAGGAACTAAAGCCGTCTGATGGGAACCTGCTCAAGCCCCAGCTACCACAACTGCCAGCTTTACCTACAGCCATTCCCATGTTATCCCCCCCATCCAAGGCCACCCCTCCCTGTGCTTCGGATCTCATCCCCACCCACTTGTCAAAAACCTTACGCTTTCGCTATCAGCAGTCACCTGTTCCATCTCAACTGGCTCTTTACCTTGGCTTTTAAACATACTCTTTTGTCCCATCACAAAAGGAAGAGGAAGAAAAGTCTCCCTTCATTTTCCAGCCATTGCTCAATCTCTCATTCCCTTTGACAGGCAAACTTTTTTTTTAAAGAATTGCCATCTTCCATGCATCCATGTCTTATGTCTCATCCCTTAACCCCCTGTAGTCTGCCTTCCACCCTCATTTCTATACTAAAACAAAAACCACTGATCAGACATTTCCAGGGCTTGTCTTGCTCAATCTCTCACAACATTTAAATTTGGCCACGCTGCTCCCATCTCTTAAAACGCTGTCTTCCCTTGGCTTCTGAGCCCCCATCTACCCTGCCTCTTTATGCTTTTCCTGCTACCATGCTGGCTCGCTCTCCTTTTCTGGGCCCCTTTATATTGCAGTTCCTCAAAGCCCAGTTCTCATCCGTTCTCTCTCTATGCCCCTCTTACTCTGACATGAAGCACAAATCCATGCCCACCACCTTTATACTCTGGACTCCCAACTTTATCTCTCCAGCTTGACCCTCCTTTCTGAGCTGAAGCATATGTACAACTAGCAGAATGGCCTTGCCTCTTAATACCTCAGACACCAACTCCATGTGCAGAAAACAAGTCTCCCACCACCCATCCCAACTGGGACCTCTTCCACTGGCAGCAAGGATTCCTCCTAAACCTTTTCCTTCACCCCAGCATCCAGCGGGTCACTGAGCCCTGGTGACATTGTCCCCTGTGCATCTTTCACTTCTCTTAATTGCCACTGGCACCTTCGTCCAAGCTGCCACCTTGGTTCTGCAGCCTTCTGAAATCCTCTCCTCTGGTTTTTCTTTATTCTGTTCTCCACAGTGCAACCCAAGTAACCTTCAGGAAGCAGAACAAATTATATTATCTCTTCCCCAGCCTGCCCCTTTTGCTCACTGCCAGCTCCCCGTTGCTCTTGGAGTGATGACCCAAATCATAAACCTGCGTCCTGTGGCACTGCAGCTGCTCACCTCCACCTACCTCTGGAGACTCGTCGGGAACCCCTGGGACCCAGCCACGTGGGCCTCATCTACCCACCAGGCCTTGGAACTGTCCTCTCTCCATCCGCAGTGTACTTCCTTCCTCCCCTCCATTCCTTTTTGTGTGGTTAGTTCCCACTTACCTGTCATATCTCTGCTCAGATGGCCCTTCCATAGAACTTCCAAGGTCGCCGTCTAGGTCAGGTTTTTTGTTCCGTGTTCACAGAATTGTATCTCTTTCCTCTAAAACGCTTAGAACAGTCACTATTGTGATTATTTTATTAACAGCATATAAGCTCCATGAAAAGAGAAGTGTTTGTATTCATGACATCCCCCCATACCTCATACGGTTGCTGGCACTTAGAAAGCTCTCAAATATGTGTTGAAAGAATGAATGAAATGAACAAGTTAATGTGTATGATAAATGTAGGGTATTTTAATACAATTTATTAGAATAAAATTCTAGGAAAAAAATATCAAGTCAAAAAATATATATTTTTTTAATTTAAAATATATATATATATATATATATATATATATATATATATATATTTTTTTTTTTTTTTTTAAATCCAGTCAACACTGAAAATTAGAAAGAAATGTGGCAGTGGCCAGGAGGGGAAGCTGAAATGCACACTTCTAGAAATTTAGCCCTAAACTCATTTGGTTTTTGTGAGAGTCACGTGGTATGTTGCACTTGCCTCCACTTGGCAGAAGTAGAGAGGCACAGTTTCTCCTTTCTCATCCTCAAGGCAGTTCTTTGGAAAACTCAGTCTGGTAATGAATTCAAGGTTTTTGTTGAAAATAAGTAAAATATATCAAGTTGTTAAATGACCAAACCTACATCACATGGCTCTAACCACCCTAACATAGAACATGGCACATTTTCATATTATCAAATAAAACTTGAACTTTGATATATGTATATATAGGTATATTTAATTCATGGATTTTTGTGCTGGATGGCCTTTAGAAGTTACTGGGCACAGTTAACTAACTTCAGACGTTGAACAGTTTGAGGCCAAACAGCTCGCTGTGCCGGAAGAGCTGATACTAACTCACGCATCTGGCTACATGTGCCTTTTTTTTTTTCCTTTTATAGCAAACTCCCTTTCCTCTTAAGCAGTATTAATTCTTTTTTTTAAATTAACATATAATATATTATTTGTTTCAGGGGTACAGGTCTGTGATTCATCAGTCTTAACAATTCATAGCACTTACCATAGCACATGCCCTCCAATGTCCATCAACCAGCCACCCCATCCCTCCCACCCTCCCTTTGCCTCCAGCAACCCTCAGTTTGCTTCCTGAGATTAAGAGTCTCTTATTGTTTGTCTCCCTCTCTGGTTTCATCTTGTTTCATTTTTCCCTCTCTTCCCCTATGATCCTCTGTCTTGTTTCTCAAATTCCTCATGTCAGTGAGATCATATGATACTTGTCTTTCTCTGATTGACTTATTTTGCTTAGCATAATACCCTCTAGTTCCATCCACGTCACTGCAAATGACAAGATTTCATTTTTGATGGTTGTGTAATATTCATCTGTGTGTGTGTGTGTGTGTGTGTGTGTGTGTGTGAGAGAGAGAGAGAGAGAGAGAGAGACGTCTTTATCCATTCATCTGTTGATGGACATTTAGGCTCTTTTCATAGTGTGGTTATTGTGGACATTGCTGCTATAAACATTAGGGTGCACACACCCCTTCAAATCACTACATTTGTGTCTTTAGGGTAAATACCCAGTAGTGCAGTAAGCAGTGTTAATTCTTAAACTTCCCTTCTTCAATATTAGAATGACCAAATTTCTGAAGCAAAAAGTTAGAACACATAATCTTAAAAGTGGGTGTACTTCTTGAAATAGTGTTTTTGAAAGCCCTTAAGATAGGTCATCGTCTTACCAATATGATACTATTTTTATAAGCTACAGGAAGGGCTTTTCTATTCATTTAATACTCTGCTTAATTTTGTGTCAAAGTGTCTGTGTTAAAGAGGTTTGTTAAAAAGGGCTCAGACCTTCCTTTGTACTATAGGAAGACCCTCAACCTGGATCTGGCTGCTGATTTCTCATGACCTGACTGTGTCCATGTTCCTGGCAGGAAGCCCACTAAAATCACCCTGTGCCCTTCTCAGGCATGGGGAGGTATGTGCTGTCTACCTGTCCCATCACAGGGAGTGTGAACCTTGATGACCAGGTCAGAGTGGTATCTGGCAGGTTTCTCTACAAGGTCACCATCTTTCCCTTTCTCTTTGATTAGTAGGATGCCAAATTCTGTTCCTTATCAGTCTGACATTTACTGGCCTTTAACTTCCATTGACAACTCCTGCCTATCTCAGTTATCTCTGTGATAGTTGTCAAATTGTCGCCTCTATTCCCACCACTCCTTGTTCGCTTGTTAGTTGTCATCCTACCATAAGGAAGAGCTTTCTCTTCTTTCCTCATCCATTTAGTTATTCATTATATCAGGATGGACTCCCAGATTCCTACTTTATTTTAGTAGGTTGTCATCTTGTATCTTCATTTATTTTGATGCTCAAATTGTCCTATATTTGACCAGTGAGAACTTTGTTAAGCTGGCTTCTGTGTCCTTTAACACATATCAGCCTTCTCTTGGACTTCCCTTATCCCAGGCCTGGAGTTACACATTCCTCCTAGGAACCTGATTCTTCTTAATGGAGAATGCTGTTTTAGTAGAGTTTGGTGCTCAGTGTGCTCATTGTTACTGGGGGACCATTGCTTCGAGGCCCTCAGGGAGCAGAGTTAGGAAAAATACATACACATGTACACATAGATCTATAACTGTTTCTGTCCATGTGTATGTATTTTTAACCCACTATTCTTATTCAACTCAGGGGTGTAAGTTTTGGTTTTTTTTTTTTTTCCATGTAAGTAAAACTCTTGCAGGTGGAAATAAACTTGGCCTCCATAATTCTAAATATATTTCCTCAATTCACTTCTTTGTTCTGTGTAGTTAATTTCCCGACCTTGCCAGCTGGCTTTCAGCATCTTTCCACGTCTTCTCCACCATCTCCCCCGACTCCCCTCCCCACCCCCATACATTTTTGCTTTCTCAGCCTCCAGGCCCACCTGCACCAAAGCCTCTGCACAAGGGTCAGCCCTCTTGCTTTTTCAAAATGTCCATCCTGAATGCTGGTGAGAGTCTGCTGTCTTCTCCAATTAGTTTTTCCAAAACCAGCAATCCCACCAATTCCAAAGAGTTGGTCATGTTTTTCCTGGATGTAGCCTGGGCAAGCTTAGGCAAGAAGGTTTTGGGGAGCATTAAGTTACTTTCCGAAAACATTTGAACTCCTCCTCCTCTCTGACTTTTTGAAATTTGTAATAGTGCATTTGATTTATATTCTAATAGCCTGCTCTTAGTTCCATTTTGGTTCGTGATGTTTTTGCAGATAATCTGTATTAGTCTCCTGTGTCTGCTGTAACAAACACAAACTCAGTGGCTTAAAACAACACAAATCTATTCTCTTACAGTTCTGGGGATCAGAAGTCTGAAATGAGTCTAATGGGTCCAAAATTAAGGTGTCAGCAGGGGTGGTTCCTTCTGGAGGCTCCAGCGGTGAATCCATTCCCTGGCCTTTTCCAGCTTTTAGAGAAGCCTGTAGGTGGCCTGCGACCCCTTCCTCTGTCTTCAAAGCCCGCAGCAAAGTGTCTTTTTTTTCTGACTCTGCTTCCTACATCATACTGCATCTTCTGACCAGCTCTTTTGGGGTCCCCACCCCTGTAGGCCCTTGTGTTTACATCAGGCCCACATGGGTAATCTCCCCACCTCAAGGCCCTTCATCTGATCACTGCAAAGTCCTTTTTACTATACAAAAAAGTTCTGGCCACAAGGTCGAGGGATCCACAGGTTCTGGGGATTAGGACATCCTTAGGCTGGCCTAGTTGCCTTATTCAGACCTACATGGTACCAAATGCAAGTCTTATATCTTAAAAACAGGATTTTAACTCCTTTCATGGCAGGTGATGGGCAACCTACAGATACTGATTAGAAAATGAACATCTCAGGGCACCTGGGTGGCACAGTCAGTTAAGCATCCAGCTCTTAGTTTCAGCTCAGGTCATGATCTCAGGGTCCTGGGATCAAGTCCCGTGTTGGACTCTGCTCTCTTCATGGAGTCTGCTTGGGATTCTCTCTTCTCCCTCTGCCTGAACCTTCCTCACTCTGTCTCTCTCTTTCTCTAAAATAAGTAAATCTCTATAAAGAAAAGAAATGAACATCTCTTAGGGTTTTTTACATACCGTACATGCAGAGATGCATCTCATTCTTTTATGTTTTACATTGTGCATTAGCAGTATTATTATTAATCATAGTCATAATGATATATTATCCAACCCTTTAATTTTTGCCATTCTGATGGATCAAACTGGAATCTAATAGTTTTCATTGCATTTCATTAATTAATTGAACATCTTTTTATATATTCCTTGGGTGTCTGTGTTTCCATATTGTGCTTGCTCTGTAATGTGTCCATATACTTTCCCCATTTTACTAATGCATTATTATTACACTTCTTTGTAAATTAAGGAAATTAGCTCTTTGTCATATGTCTTAAAAATAGTTTTCCCATTTTCTCATGTGCCTTCCAACTTTTTTTGTTGTTGTTGTACAGAAGCTTTAAGGTTCTGTGCACCTGCTTTTATTATGTCCTTTGATGGTTTATTTGTTTCTAACATTTACATTTTCACTCCATCTGATACTTACTTTAGTGTAAGGAATGCAGTAAGAATTTGCTTTTGGTTTGGTTTCCAGATGTCTGGCCTATCCCCCCCCCCCCCATCGTTTATTAAATGTCCTCTTTTCTCCACCTTTATCTTACACTGGACTTCACTACGTATGTGCTTCTGTCTGGGAACTCTATTCTGGCACATGGCTCTGTCTCTTCAAGCACGACAAGCAGGCTGTTTTAGCATCTGGGCTTCTGTCTCTGCGTCTGACAGAGGTCATCCCTCCCAGTCATTCTTGTTCAAAATCCTTTGGACTCTCCCATATTTATTTTTCCATAAGAATGTAGTGTTATTTTGTCAAATTTCAAAAAAAAATTACATTTTATTAGGAGTATTTTGATTATGTAGATTAAAGTAGGGAGAATTTACAACTTTATCATCTGGGTCCTTATGTAAGAATACCATACATCTTTCTACTTATATAAATCTTTTATATCTTTCAGTGGTTTTAAAGTTTTCTCCATATTATTTATATTAAACCTGTATCAGATACTTTAAGATTCTTAGCTGATACAGTAAGTAGGATATTTTTATCTATTTTCTGAGTCATTTTCATTTGCATACAGAAAAGATTGATTTTTATGTCCACTTAATAACTATAAAACTGTAGTTTTTATTGAATGCTCTTTATGTTACAGTGTTTTATACGGTTTTGTAAATATACAGTCATGCCATCTGCACATGATAATAATTTGCCATTTCTTTTCAAGTGTTTATTCCTCTTATTTCTTTCTCACATCTAATTTATTGTCTAGCACCTCCAAAACAGTATTCACTAACAGAAGTAATAGTGGGCATCTTTATCTTAATCCTCTTAGCAACATCAGTTAATGTTTTACTATAAAGCATGAAGCTAGCTTTTAAGTTTAAGATGTGTATTTGTTTATCATGTTGGGAAAGCATTTATTTAGGGTACTTAGGGCATCTTAAGTTGGGTCAGGAGTCATGAAAACTTTGTCAGGAGTAATAGATACAGAGGTAGGAATTAAGCATAGAAGCAGCCTGACCGTTAATTTGTTTAGTCAATGTTTATTGAACACCTACTATTTCCTGGGAACTCTTCTGGGCACTGAGCAGTAGACAAAACAGTCAAAAGGCTGCAGTCATGAAACACACAATTCAGTGGGGCAGTCAGGTAGGAGATAAGCTAAATAACTGTAATATGTATTAGATCATATGAGATGTGCTATAGGGAAAAATAAAGTGGGAAAGGAAACAGCAGTGTTGAAGTATACAGCAATCCCTAAACAAATGAGTGTATATCAATTAATACTGATTCAAAATGTTTAACATTCTTCTATATAAATGTTCATTTGTGAGATCTTGACATTTTCCTTTCGTAATATTCTAGGTTTTTTTAAATATATTCTTTCCTTAAAAAGAGACCAAAACATGTCAAAAAATACTGCCCTGGAAACCTCATAAATACTACAGTGTGAAGAACCCTCAGCTCAGAACATACAGTTGATCTTCATACATCTTAGGAACGTTTGATAGAGGACAGCAGGTATGTATTAATTCATTTTAAAACATTTTAGCATATTTTTTGGTCTGCTTTTGTGAAAAAGCAGAATTGAAAGCAATGACACAAAAGCATAGTTTCAGAATGATTCAAATGTATATCTTGATCTTGAACATTCTTCTTTCTTTTTTTTTAAGATTTTATTTATTTATTTGACAGAGAGAGAGATCACAAGTAGGCAGAGAGGCAGGCAAAGAGAGAGGGAAGCAGGCTCCCCGCTGAGCGGAGCCTGATGCGGGGCTCGATCCCAGGACCCTGAGATCTTGACCTGAGCTGAAGGCAGAGACTTAACCGACTGAGCCACCCAGGCGCCCCAAACATTCGTCTTTCTAATTCTATAACTAAACGAACATGATATATGAATGTATTGTTCTGCTGGGCAGCCATCCCTTTTCGCAGTGCGTTCCAGAAAAGCATATCATCAGCTGGATTACATTTTTTCAATTTAAACGGTGTTTTTAATTGTGGGTTGTATTCATGAGTCATAACAACAAAGAAACCACTGTAAACCCTGTTATGATAGAAACAGTGCAATTATGCTTCAACGGTAATCAAACAGGCACTGTCTACTGTAAACACTAGTCAGTGTTCAAAATATAAATGTTGCCAAAATCTGAACTATACAACACCATAAACTGGTATATCAAAAACTAGTCTGCTCACTCTATAGTAAGCACTAATAACATAATTACTAACTACTTATTTTTAAATTCTTGAAGGCAGAGGTTTGCTTTCTTCATAACGCCAGTGCCTGGTAGACACTAAATAAATGTTCTTTGGGGCGCCTGGGTGGCTCAGTTGGTCAAGCAGCTGCCTTCGGCTCACATCGTGATCCCAGGGTCCTGGAATTGAGCCCCACCTCAGTGTCCCTGCTCAGCAGGGAGTCTGCTTCTCCCTCTCCCTCTGCCCCTCCCTCTCCCTCTGCCCCTCCCCCTGCTCATGTTTTCTCTCTCTCTCCTCTCTCCAATAAATAAAATTGGAAGGAAGGAAGGGAGGGAAAGGAAAGAAAGAGGGAGGGAGGGCGGGACATCTGAGTCACACTCAAGGGGAGGGGATTACACAAGGACATGAATATCAGGAAGTGGGAATCAGTGGGGGCCATCTTAGAAACTACCATCCACACCGAGTACATTCCAAAGATAGCCTCAGAATGGTATGTGATGACCCCTTCTTCATCACTGGGGGCACTGGAATGCTCCAGTACTCCCTAGGGTGGAAAAGTGACAATGTGGAAGAATCACCTGATGGTTTCCCCCCTGAATGAATGTCCACAGTTAAGTGATCATTATCATGACAACAGGAAGGGTCCTGATAACCAGTGAAGTGGACTTCCAGTCTTCCAGATGTGCCTGACCACCCTCTCCTAAGCCAATACTGTACCAACTGAATCTAAAGAGCTTGAAATGATTCTTAAGAGAAGGATTCAGGAATAGAACTGGTTTGGGAAATTAAAGCACAACTTATTTGTTCTAACATATAGTCCCTGCTTGTACTGTACAAGCAGATGTCCACTGCCTGAACCTGGGTGGAAAAAGGGTTTGCAGGTGGATATTCCTTAGGCTTTCAGCAGGAGCCCCAAATGGACTTCTCTCATTCCCTGACTCTCTCTGCTTCTCCCCTTTATCTCTTCCCTCTCTCTCCTGATAACTTCTCCCTTCCCATTTTTCCCCTCAAGATTTGCCTTACTTCCCTAGATAAATAATGAATAGAAGGGAACTTCCTCAGTCTGATAAAGGAAAACCTACAGTAACATCACACTTAATGGTGAAAGACAGGACCCTTTCCTTCTCAGATCCAAAACAAGACAAAAACATCAACTCTTACCAACACTTGTAACCAACATTTTACTGGAGATTCTGCCAACTAATCAGGCAAGAAAAAGAAATAAAAGGATCCATGTTAGGAAAGGAGAATTCAACTCTATTTACAGATAACATCATTATCTGTGATAGAATCTATTAAAAAGCTACTAGAACCAATAAACAAGATTACACAATGCAACATCAATATGCAAATATCAATTGTATTTCTGTGTACTAGCAGCAAATAATTGGAAATTGAAATTAAAAGATAGTACTACTTAACAATACCAGTATAATAACAGCTATCATCCAAAATATGAAATATTGGGGGACCTGGGTGGCTCGGTTGGTTAAACCTCTGCCTTCAGCTCAGGTCATGATCTCAGGGTCCTGGGATTGAGCCCCACAAGGGGCTCCCCACTCAGTGGGAGTCTGCTTCTCCCTCTGCTTCTCCTCCCCACTCATGCTTGCTCTCTCTCTCTCAAATAAATAAATAAAAATCTTTTTAAAAATATGAAAATATTTAGGGATAAATCTGAAAAAAAAGATGTAAAAGATCTATGTACCAAAAATGACAAAACATTGCTGAGAGGAATTAAAGATGGCCTAACAAGCCAGAGGTATGGCTTGACCATGGATAGAAGACTCAATTTTGTCAAGTTATTTGTCCTCTGTGAATTTATCTATCAACTCAACATGATCCCAGTAACAATCCCATTAGACTTTTTGAAAGAATTGACAGACTGATTCTAACATCCCCATGGAAGCTCAGAGGACCTGAATAAAATAGCCAAACAACTTGGAGAACAAAGGACAGAGTTGGAGGACAAATGCTCTCACATTTCAAGATTAATTATAAAGCTGTAGCAGCCAGAACAGTGTTGTATTGGTGTAAAGGTAGAGAGCTAGAGGAGCAGAGCAGAAGAGAGAGCACAGAAATAGACCCGTGTACGGACATCTCAGTTATAAAGATGCAGACGCAGTTCGGTGGGAAAGGGCTGGTCTTTTCAAGAAATGGTGCTAGAAAAATTGATATCCTTATTTTAAAAATATGAACTTTCATCAATTTCTGATCCATCACAATTAACTCAAGATGGATCAAAGTAAAGCAAAACTGTTAAATTTCTGGGAGAAAATCTTTGTGCCCTCCAGTTATGTAAAAGTTTCTTAGCTGTAACACCAGAAGGATCATTCCTAAGAGAACAAATTGGCAGTTGGGCTTCATCAAAATTAAAAACATCTTCAGAAACTTTTAAGGGAATGAAAACACAAGCCACAGTTTGAGAGAAAATATTTGCAAATGTACATCTAATAAAAGACTTAATGTCCAGATTATAAAAGAGCTCCGAAAAGTCAATGGTAAAAAACCAAGCAGTGCAATCGAAAAACAGACAAAAGATTTGAACAGGCATTCCATCCACCCCTGAAAAAAGGAAGATGTTAGGATGGGAAATAAACTCATGAAAAGATGTTCAATATGATTAGTCATTTGGGAAATGAAAAGAAAATCACATGGGATATCACTAAACAGACCTATTAGGTTTTAAAAAGAGTGACCGTATCAAGTGTCAGCAGCGATGTGGAGCAGCAGGAACTCTTAGACACTGCTGATGGGAAGGCAAAATGGTACAGCCTCTTTGGAAAACAGTTTGGCAGTTTCTCAAAAAGTTAAACGTACACCTACCATATGCTCCAGTCATTCCATTCCAGGGTATTCACCCCAAAGGAAAGAAATCCTATGTCCGTATGTAAGACTTGTGTATCAATGTTCATAGCAATTTTATTTGTAATAGGAAAACAATGAAGAGAGCAGAAAGGTCCATCAGCAGGTGATGAGCAAACAAATTGTGGTATAAGTCACACAATCGGATAGTACTCAGCACTTTAAAAAAAGAATGAACTCTTGATATACCTAGTAACTTGGATGAATCTCAAAATAATGATGCCAAGTTAAAGAATGCAAATCAAATAGAAGTGCAGACTGTATGATTCCATTCATATAAAACTGTGGGAAATGCAAACGTAAGGGGACAAAATATAGTCAGTGGTTGTCTGAGGTAAAGGTGGGGAGCAGGGAGCATCAAGGGAGAGGAATGACATGGGGGCCGAGGGAAACTTCTGGAGACAGTGGACGTGTCGACTCTCTGGATGTTGGTGTTCATCTCCCAAGTATATGCATGTGTCTATAACGATCAAATCGGACACTTCAAATATGTGCAATTTATCACATGTCATTTGCATACTGTATTTCTATATATGCAATAAAAGAGATTTAAAAAATTGTATCCAAATGGCTTATGATTTAGTTTTCGTATGAAATATATGCTGTCAGTATGGCAACTATGTTGACCCATTGGATGCATTAAAAATGATCATTTAAATGTTGGTGAATCACCTAATAAACTCATTCAAGTGCTCGTACCATTGCTACTGAAATGCTTAGTATGAAACCATCTGGTCCCCATTTTTCTTACGATGTGTTTTTGTCCAAGACTACTATTAATACTAAGAACAGTTATCTTTCTATTTATTATGGCAGAAGGAAGTACATAAGTTTACCTAAAAGCTGATATTAATAACACTGAAATTAATAAGTCCTAGTAAATTCCACATTGTGGCTTCACTAGGTTGGAAACACTCTGTCTCAAAAGAACATAGCACTATGTAAAGCATTTATGACAACTTTTAAGTTTAGTAAATTCTAAAACATCTTACAGATATGGATTGAAATCATAGTTTGTATTTACATCAGGCCCACATAGGTAATCTCCTGACCTCAGGGCCCTTCACCTGATCAATGCAAAGTCCCTTTTACTACATAAAGTATTTGTGTCTTTTTAATTATGAGGCAGTGTAGATCAATGAACCCAGTAATTAATCTGAAGTTACTTAATGTTTTTTATCAGTGAAATAGATTAGGTTGTAATAGTGACCAACAGTAGACTGTGCCTCATACCATGTACTATAGGAATGTATTAAAGGGGCACCTGGGTGGCTCAGTTGGTTAGGCATCTGCCTTCAGCTCAGGTCATGGTCCTGGGGTCCTGGGATCGAGCCCCATGTCGGGTTCCCTTCTCCTTGGGGAGCCTGCTTCTCCCTTTCCCTCTGCCTCTGCCTGCCGCACCCCCTGCATATGTGCTCACTTGCTCTCTCTCTGTCAAATAAATAATCTTAAAAAAAAAAAAAAACTGACAGTACATCCACTAGATAATTGGTGACAATAAAGAATTTTCTATCCACCCATCCCACACACACACAAAAATATTTCTCTATAATAAGACCACATTTTGCATCCCATGAAAACTATACCTATTGCATTAATGAGCAGGAAATATTAATAGACAATTTTGCTAATATGGCATCTTCTCATTGGGACATTTTTAATTGTATGAGATTATTTTTTCAAGCATGTTAAAGGAGCTACAATTCAGTCTCCAAGCCATAGAGACCTTGCAAAATAGAGACTCACAGGAGATTCTGTGCAGTGGGACAGTTCAGCCATTAAGAGAGGCTTATGGTTCTTTCAGTTCTAAATGAGGAGGGCAATAATTCTTCAGATGCACCTTCTTTTTTACAGCTAAACCTATAAAACCTTCCATTAGAGTACATTTTAATCTGGTAGAATTGTTTTAAGTGTGAGGTTGTTTAGCGATATTAAGGCTTATTTGGCTCCAGTGGATTTCCATTAGAATTTTTTCCTTTTTTTTCCTCTGTGATATCAGTGTTTATTAAACAGAGAGACCAGGATGGCTAGCTCTCTGCTACATCAGACATGGGGCATCAAAACTCATTTTAGCCCCCTGGAAGCATGTGATTCAGAGGGAATATATTTTTTTTAATGTAGATGGAGTGGAGTATAAGCACATCGTCAAACCTCAACATTCTAATCCAAAAATGGAAAAAAATACTCCAGCACCCTAACCTTCCATTCATCATCTCCCTGTTCCTGTCATGTCAGATTCTAAGTGAGTTGCACTGATTAATCTGAAAGATTACGGGATGAGTGATAATTTTCAATATAGTCTCAGATTTGGGACTCAACACTATAGGTAAAACAGGAAAAGCTGAATAGCGAGTTTTTCCCATAGGCCTGTCACAGGGTTTGAAATAATAGAACATTTTAAGGTTACAGTGATACATAAGTTGGGTCAAATGATGTCCATTTGGGGTCACGTAGCATGGTGTAAGTGAAAAAACTTTCAAGGCCCACAGACCTGGATTCAAAACTCAGTTCTCCCAACTCTAGCTTTGTGACCTTGGACAGGTTATTTCTGAGCCTCGGTGCGCTCATCTGTAAGACAGGGTTACTAGTACCCATCACACAGGACTGTCCTCATGATGAAGTAATCTACCGTATGTGAGCTCTTACCTCTGTGCTGGCACAGAGCCTAACGCAGGGATGGCGGTGATCATTATTCAAGCATTTACAGGTACGGATCGTGTGGCAGCACTCTGCTAGGCCTGAAGTTACACCAGGAACAAGACAGCCTCTGTCTTCAGGGAGCTTTCAGTCAAATGGCATTAGTCAAGCAATTGTTCCCAGCAAAATAGTCGATGGGGAAATAGACTGACTCGTGTTTGCATCTCTCACATAAAGACACAGGCAATGCCCTGGAGTCCCAGCATTTGTCCCAGAATTACTTGTCCAAGAGGGAACTAGTATTTGTTGATTGTGAACTACATGACGGGTACCGTGATGGGTATTTACAAACACTGTCTCATTTCTCCCTCTAATAACCCCATGGAATCAGTGCTGTTATCATGTTGTGTAGATGGCCAAGGTCACTTAACTAATTGACAGACTCAGGTTTGAACCCACGCTGGTATTCCTTCGTATTGTCACCTTCGATTGTCACACTCCCACTCCTGTAGCTATTGAACAATTTGTGACTGTAAATGAAACACAGTCTTGAATTAAGCCTGTATCCTATGATACTGGGATGGCTTTCTCAGAGGTGTGTTACAAGGAAGGAGGAGGGAATTTTTAGAAGGCTTTAGAAGGGGAAGTCAGCCAAGAACAACTGGTCAAAAATTCTTCTCACAGATCAGCTTCTCGCAGTGATGTAGATTTAGCAGGATGGATGAGGGGAGCAAGTTTGGAGCTAAAGTCATGAGCAAGGAGGGGTGAGGAGGAACTCCTCCCAGGGACAAGGACAGGCAAGGCTATGAGGGCCAAAGGGGAACATTTTTGGATCTTTGGAATCTCGTACACCAACATCTTGGTCTCTAAACCATTTGCAAATGTTCAAAAGTGAGGATCTTTGCCTGTGCCTCTGTCCACTGTTACACAGCAGAATGGGTCTGGAAAGATTGATTCTTTGCCTTAGGATGTGTGGTGTTTGCTGTTGTGATGCTTAATGAAAAAATTCCTGAACTTGAAGGGGGAAAACATGAACAACTGTTTCACCCGTCTGAGCGTGTCCTCTTCACGTGGTCTGAACCTGTCCCCTTCACATGGCCAGGAGTAGCTGATGTGAACGCAGCTTGTGGGAAGTAAAAACACTTGTGAAAGATTAAGAACAGTACTAATGTTAGTAGGATTATTGGGGCTAAGATTTCTGTCGTGGGGAGATGGTGAACCGCCTCCTGTATTCCATGAGACAAGGAGAAAGTTTGAGAGTCAAGCCAAGGCAGAAAGAGGCAGAAACTGATTTACGGAAAAAAACCAAAAAACTCTTAGTAGAGAGGACGTTAGATCCCTTTTGGGAAGGGTCTGATGGCAGCTAATTTCTCTTTTGCTTTTTTGATAAAACAGAAGAATTGAGGGTATTAAGTGAAAAGAAAGTAACCCTTGTAAAGCCCCTGGGAGCTGAGTTCCTTTGTTTCAAGTGCGTTGATCCAACATCCCCTGGTGGCATTACTGTGCCTTAGTGCAGCGACATCGCAGAGGGGCGCGGAGCCATCTGGCGTGTAACTAAAGCCAGCCTTCTGGAGGGCCCACGTTTGGGGTCCTTCTTGTTTGATTTCATATTGTCTCCATTTTAAATTCTCACTTCAGATACCTCAGGGCTTGCTTATCAACAGTATCCAAAGTCCGTGTGCAAGGGCGCCAGGCTGCCTCAGTCAATGGAGCGTGCTACTCTTGATCTCAGGGTTGTGAGTTCGAGCCCCACGTTGGGCATAGAGAAATTACTTAACAAAACAAACAAACAAACAAACAAAAAAGTTTGCATATGTTGGAATCACTCTTTCTAAATTACCGTGGCTCAGGGCTATGTGAGAAGCTACGTGCAGCGGCTGTCCTGAGCGATCTCGGAGCTGGACTCACTGCACCTCAGAGAGCAACTTTCCTGTGAAATTTGTGTTCTTGGGGAGTATGCATTTGACTGTGGGCTGCCGGCTCTCCCAGGACCCTTCAATCAGAAAGGAAGGAAGTATTGCTGATCTTGTGGGGCACATGTAGGAGAGCTTGTGTGAGAGACACTGTCATCCGGCCTTGTTTGTCACACAAATGGCTCAGCTCAGTCAAGTTCAATACTACTGCCTAGGCTCTAAACCAAGAATTTAAAAATAAAGTGGAAGTAAAATGCAGAAATCTATTTTTCACTGAATGTTAATTAAGCAGGGTGCCAAGAACAAAGTGCCGAAGATTTATTTTAGCTACATGGACTCTGAAACAGTGTGTGAAAGTTGCTTGGGGGAGTAATTCACTGAACTAAAACTTTCATGACCTAAACATTCCTGAAGAACTACTGTGTTTAAATCACCTTGTACGGTACTCAATTTGAATCAAATCCACCCAAAATAAAAGAGACTCTGTCTAGGTCTTAATTAAATTAAGTTACTCCACCATGGTCTTCGGTTATAAGGACTTTGGACTATGTGGGATCTTTTGTCTCTGATGAGAAACTAGGATCACTTCATCAAATTTCATTTCCATCTTCAGTTTTTAAACACATCTCTTTGAAGTCTGCTTTACTTTATTCTTAATTCCTAAGTAAGAGTTTTTTTCACACTGAATAGTTAAGTTTATAATAATTAGACAAACTCAGTTTTGATTTTTCCAAATCCATTATTTGTAAAAGTCCAGTCTTTATGTAGCTGCAAATATAGGCAGTTCGTTATTAAACAAATGTGAACTTTCCGTTGAGTAGGTTGTCTTCAAAAAACCTCCGATACTTGGATGATTTTTCCATGCAAATCAGCATGTTTTTCTGACTTCCTTCTGTCATCATGTAACATATAATCAGGGAAGTTATTTTCATGTTATAATAGTCTAAATAAAGCACAGAAAGGAATGCAAATTTTTTTAAATTAAAATGTAAAAAAGCCTTATAATTATGGATCAAGTGTACATCCCTGGGACTCACTATTACTCTTATATTTAGAATGAACGTGAGCTCTAGAGAACTACTAGATTCATTAGTTGTATTCTATATTATATGTTTAATCTCAAAAGTGTAATTTCATCACTAATAAGTAAAAGTGTGTGCATCTCCACAAATATGTCTGGTTTTCCTCAGTCTTGCACTTCATACCAGCCACCCACACCTACCAAGTACTGTCATTTTCTTCAAGGCAAAAAAAAATGTCAGCACTCTTAGAGAACGAGGATGTAATTCAGTAATTCATAAATTGTTGTCATTGTTGTTCTCTGATATAAACTTCATCTTCCATGACCTGTGAGCATAATCTCACCAAAGTTTGGTCTCATAAATCTTATATCTTACGTGGAGAAAACATAAAAGCCAAACTGAGATTTTTGCCAGAAAATAACTTGAAAGGGATGTATTGTTTCCCTTTCCTAGTCCTCCATTTATAGTTAAGTATAATAAGGCATATGTTCATTTTAATGTCAGTAGCTATAAATCTAAAAATACTTTTCTTCTGTCAGGTTGTTTACTATGTCTCTGCCTGGTCCAGCAGAAACAGACATAGACCAGCAGCTCCCCGGTGCAGCATTAGGACCTGGTAGGCTGGCCGCTGAGTGCGGGGGCAGCCCTGGCACAGGTGACTGTCCCAGTGGCAGTCCCGGACACGCCTCTGAAAGGAGTGTTGACTATAGCAGGTCCCAGTGTTCCTGCAGAAGTTTAAGTTCTCGCTGTGATTACTCAGAAGACTTTCTCTCTGAATGTTCAGAAACTGCTCTTAATAGAAATTATTTAGAGAAACCCGTGATAAAAGAGGAAAAGGACGAGAAGAAAAAGTACGTCTCTAAAATCTCCCAGTCTAAAGGTAAGAAGCAGTATTTTCCAAGTAAGACCAAATTTCTCTTTCTAATGACATTTTTATTTAATGCTCTAGTATTTTAAGTAGACCACATTGCGTTTTATTATCCTCCCATATTTTAAATGTGTCTGTATAAGTGAACTTTTATAGAAGGAATTAGGAAATAGAGAAATTGAGAATCGTAACAAGACAGCAGGAAGTTAGGCTGAAAATGTAAAGCCTAGCCCTCTTGCCCATCTTACCCTCCTGGAGCCCACTAGTGAGGCTGGTTCCATTTTTAGTTAACAGGTGGCCTCGTTACAGATACCTGGATCTCACTGGCTTCTTGCCTTTCATCTCAGCTGAGGAACCAATGTTTGAATTGCCAATGAAATGTAAAAACCTGTTTCAACACCCCAAGAAGATGGGCTTCAAGTCCGGTGAGGCAAAGGTCGTCCTTTGACACAGGGGTGGTTCCAAAGGCTGTTGATAATGTCATTCCCTCGCAGACTGTCAGAGTACTGACACCATCCATTCCTAACTGTCCAAACTGGAAGGAGCCTTGTGATATCCCTAACCTCATTCCCTGCCTCCCTGCCTGGACCGTGATGACTCCCTTCCATTTTAAACAATCCTGGGCTTATAAATACCCCTAATAGAGAAATAGCTGAAATGCTCTTCCACTGTGATCACCAGAACTGCCAACAGTCAACAACTGGAAAATACGTTAGCATGTAATGCTGTATGTGGAACACGCCTACCGTCACCTTTACCCCGTATCTCCCACCCCCAGCCTCCTGTGACCAGGTGTGCCTAGGACTCCCTGTGCTACTTCTGAATCATCATCAGGTCCCCTTCTTCTAAGCTGTAGGATAGGGATTCTTAATCTAAGATCCATGTCTGTGAGTCCCATGAAGATCTTTGCATTTTTTTGGTGTCTATTTACATTTGTAAATTTTTCTAGGGAGAAGGACCCATGAGCTTCTACCAGATCCTCAAAAAGCTAAAAGCCCCTTTCCCAGAGAGGTGGGAGCCTTACACTCATGGGCCAGGCCCGCGGTAGGACATGAAAGGTCCAGTTCCTTCTCTCACCTAGGACTCTGTCAAAAGAAGTCTGTTTGTGGCATTTGGAAGAGATTATCACAATAGAACCCACATCGTGGGTAGACTCCATGGTTATAATCCCTTATCCACATTTGTAATTTATAAAACTCTGAAAATCAAACATTTTCTATACCTGTGGCCCCCAAACTGATTCGGCAACAAAAACCTGATTTGGACTAACATGAGACTGAGCTTTATTCATTTCACTTAGTGTGAAGAGTCCTATATTTCACAAGAATATTCTTTGATTAAAGTCTGCTGTCCCCAACCCTACAGGGAGTACTATGGAAAACACTGTACATGCACCAGAATAATAATAATAATAATAATTCAGAAACAGTCTGGCCCCATGGTTTTATGACAGGGGTCATGGCTCTATACACTACATTTTGTATCAATTCTGCACTTTTGTGGGGCTGCATGAAAGGCAGTTAACATTTATAAAACTATTTCCATAGGAACTGAACTTTGGGTTCTAAGTGCCTGATAACTTAACTTCTAAAAATTGTTTCCTCATTTATTCCACAATTATGTATTGAGTGTTTTATGCAAGATACCTGGTCATAAATGGGGACCCTTCATTAAGAGTAGTTTAATCATTAGGCCAAATCTGCATCATTGTATGAAATGAAATAGAAATTGTAAGAGATACTTAACTCTAGCAAACAAACTGAGGGTTGCTGGAGGGGAAGTGGGGGGGATGGGCTAACTGGGGGATGGGCACTAAGGAGGGCATGTGATGGAATGAGCACTGGGTGTTGTATGCAACTGATGAATCACTAAATTCTACCCTGAAATTAATAATACACTACACGTTAACTTAAGAACAAAAAAGAAATTGTAAATTTTGTCATTCTTACATGTGTAGGTTAGTGTAATGAGATACAAAATCATTAAGGACTAAACCCTGTTTCAACTTTCCATAACCTTAATTAGTATACAAATATACATATGTATAGTATGAATTTATTCTATATCACTCAAACACAAGTGGTATATTTACCTTCTGAAGGAGACAAGTCTGGTTCATCCTCCCCCAAACACCCACTAAGGTAGGCAGAAAATGCAATCTCGGGCAGGTTTGGGGGATGGAGGGAGGGTGGGTAGCCTTACACAAATGAGAACAGCAGAGAAGGGTTTCTGATCCTTCATTCTCATCACTTATGTGCTCCTTGTCCAGGCTGATACTTCCTGTTTTCAAAGCACCCATACTCCATATGCACATTTCCTCCTGGGGCCTTGGCCAGTGCTCCCAGGGCCACAAAGATTCGTCCCAGGCACCCACTCCTTCTGACTCTGCCCTTCCATCATGTGAGTGTAGCATAAGACAGGGACAGAAGTCTCCACCGCCCACAGAACCCACCACCCGTCATCCTTCTAGTCAGGGAAATCCCTCTTTCCACCAGGTCACACCACCCAAGAGCGTAAAATATTCTAAGCTGGGAGTCAGGCTTCCAAGTAGAACATGTAGGACCTGACACCCCTGTTGTAATCCAGCCCAACCCACATTGCCTGGGTCTGGGGCTCCCCTAGCCAGCACCCAAGGTATTAAATTGCCTGGTGTCCTAGTAGGTGTCCTAGAGTCAGTCCTCCGCTTTCCAATTTTCAGTGTACTCAAAAACCTGTTCCAAAATATTCAAACATCCAACCAGAGCCCTTATGAAATCATTCCGGTGGGACGATAGTTGTAAAGACAGTCCATCGATTATAGATATGATGCGGATACTGATCGTCGTCACCCGTGTAGTCTGTCATAGTCACGATTGAAATGCTTTATCCCTGAAAGCATCCTCAGTTTCTGCCGGCTCACTTCCATCGCAGGCAGAACCCCCTTCCCGCCACCCATACCAAACATGTCAAGCTGAGTCTCAGATGATGTGTGCACACTCGGGCTAATAGCTTAATGTTCAGACTCCAGTGACATTAGCCATTGAGTGCTTTCTCTCTCCGGGATGAAGACCATGTTTTTTTTGGATCCTGGAATCTAGTTTCAGTCTCTCTCAGAATGTGGATATAATAATACACATACACACACACATACACGGGCAGTGTGCACATATATGTACATAAGTGTCATACGAATGCACGTACATATGGGACCTGGGTTCTCTGTCTCCCCACTCCCTAGCTGTGTGCCCACCAGTAAGTGACTTCACGAAGCATCGGTTTGTTCATCTTTAAAAGGGAATAATAACACAGTGACATTACATATACATTTGACATACTCAGTGCAGTTATATAAGGTTGGTGCTTAGAAGTTGGGTGTAATATTATTTAGATACATTTTGTTTAAAATAGACTTCTAAATACAAGCCAACTAACTACTTCCTTTTAAGTCCAGTCCAAAGTAACGGGGGAAATTGTCTATGTTGGACTTACTGAGAGATGGAAAATCCATACGATTCCTCTAAACAGCTCAGTGGCTTTCTGGGGGTTTTTTTGAATATATGAGATCGTCATATGTAACACTGGACTCTAAGATTATTCTTGAATTGCCTTATAACATATTATCGGAAGGGTTATATCAGAAAATCTACATAAAGCATTTAGTTCAATGCTTAATACATGGTGAGCCCTTAGTAAATGATATCTATTATTATGGCTTTTAGTATAGCTTTAATAATAGAAATAAGCATAAGTTTTCCAATCAAAGAAGACCTGGTTTTCAATCCATGCTGTGTGTCTTTGTGGTTATGGAACCTTGGACAAATGACTTACAGTCTTCAGCTGTCAAATAGACTCCTGCTGACCCTGAGTGAGGTATGAGGTATCCTGCATATGAAATCCCTGCCCTGGAGCATGGCTAGCCATTACATGTGTTCTTTCCCACTCTAGTTTGCCTGTGTACGCGTGCACAGGTGCGGGGGTGGGGGGGGCACAAACATGTATATCTGCGTCCATATGCATATTACTAGTAACAAACTGGATTGTCTGCTCACACAGGCCAGAAGGAAATCTCAGTTGAAAAAAAGCACACCTGGAATGCACCACATTTACATTCCCAAAACAATATGATTACCCAAAGAAGAGACGCTATGACTCACCGCATACTGTCAGCAAGGCTTCATAAGATTAAAGAGCTAAAAAACGAAGTAGGGGATATCCATCGTAAATTGGAAGTCACAGTCCTAGAAAACCAGTTTTTGAAACAGCTTCAGCTTAGGCACTTGAAAGCTATAGGGAAATATGAGAATTCACAAAATAATCTACCTCAAATTATGGCAAAACATCAGAATGAAGTCAAAAATTTGAGGCAGCTACTTAGGAAATCCCAGGTAAAGGAAAGAAGTGCATCTCGGAAACTTCGAGAAGCTGACAGTGAGCTGCTCAAGACTAAAGACGCCTTGCAGGCCCTGCAGAAGCTTTCTGAAGACAAAAACCTTGCAGAGAGAGAGGAACTTACTCAAAGACTATCTGTTCTTACAACAAAAACGGAGGCAAATGACAAAAAAATACAGGTCCGTATTTCAGAGGCCTAGAAATTGTAATGTCCCAAAATGGACATGGAGAGGGTGTACGTGCATCACGCTTATGCCTGTGCAGTGAAGTATTACTAGCTGCTTTGCTGGCAGGCCACACCAGTGATGCTGTCTAAGGAGGGGGTCGGGGCCACGGGCAAGGGGAGATGTTCGTTCTGTGGTCTAGTGAGCTCATTCTGCAGCCGGGCTCGTTTGTCTGGAAATGACCATTCTCTAAGCTTGTTGGTGTGCTGGAAAGGGTATTGGGTTGGTTTGGGTTGGGTTGGGTTGGGTTGGGCTGGGTGAAACCTCTTAGAAGCTAACCTTCTACTTTAAATTGTTTATTAAAAGCCTACTTTCCTAAAAGCCTGCCCCCTGCATCTCTCCCATCCCTCATATTCCCTGGCCAGTTGTCTTCTCACTACCGCCGACATTGTTGGTATGTTCGAAACAGAAGTGTTTCCCGGATAATGCTCCTGGGAAAAGGGAGGGGAAAGGAACTACAATAATTGACATGAATGGTTTGATCTTCCTGAAGGCACATGGTCATCAAAGGCTCAGGGACTGCACCATAAGGGATGATTTGGGAGAACACTCTGATTCTACTGAGAATTCTGCCAATGTTATGTTAGTCCTTGGTCTCTCTGGACAGACATAAATTTTAAAAATTTACTGTTTAATACCTCATTATGTGATGGTAAGAGGCCAATTTTCTTATGAACTTGAAATAAGAACTGATAAGAAAGTTCATTTCATGTACTTTCTTATCAGTAATTTCCTCTTTGGTAAAAATCTTCCTCTACTTTTAAAGAGAATTTTCTCCCATAAAATGAGCAGCCTCATTTTCAGTCATGTAATTCATTATCCAAAGTTCTATTATTTGACCTTCTAAGTAATATTGGACCATCTTAGCACATGTCCGTCAGGGAAAAATAAATGTATTTTTATCTCATCTACATATTTTTACATATATATGTTAAGTAGTTCATGTTTTATGTCTGTATGTCATGTTTTATGTCTGTACTTTGGTCTGTAACCAAAATCAAAAAGAATTCAAGAACTATCAAGAACTATCTTCTTATCAGATGCACTTGGTCATATGAGAAATTTTGTTTGGTTGTAGGGCATTTGGTGGTTGGAGAAAATGCTTATGAGCCAAAACATGTAGTATTTTTTTTTAATGTTAATAGTTTGGGGACTGGAATTAAAAATTATTTCATCCTTCTAGCTAACCATATTGCCCACTTTTCTTTAATGAGAAAGTATTAATACTATAATGGGGGAAAAAAGAAAGAAAAGGCCTTTTGGCCAAGCCTTTGTCAAAGTCCAGACCAAAGAGTTCTGCAATAAAATTATCATGCTGGAGAGGATGGAGAGGAGGTGCCCACAAACCTGTAAGCCCTGAGTGCCAATGGCCATGGTGCCGGCAGAGATCTCCTGGTCTTAGAATTCCTTCCTCCTTGAGGGGCTGGGGTGAGTCTCTGCAGGAGCTTCCAGGGTCAGTCAGCCGAGACTCGAGCCCTCACGCCTGCCCTCCAGCAGCTGAAGCTTGACAGAGCTCCTGAGTTCACCTGCCACACTAGCAGGTCTCCTCCCTGTGAGCCCAGCCACTTGGGCTGAGTTTTAAAGACGGCATTGGTTATATTTATTCGTTTTCAAGAAATGTTCAAAGGTTGTTTGTATTTTTAGATCAAATTCCAGAGCGTAAAAAAACATTAGGTTCAAAATATATTGATTCTCTAGAATTGGGATCTAGGGTTTTTTGGCTTTTGTGTCTGTGTGTGTGGTTACATTTAGTTCTAATATATGGCATGTACTAAAATTGTGTTAAAAATTCACACTTCTCATTAATGCAATTACTGCCATTACAATTGAAGTTTTTTTAAAACAATACTACATTGGTGACAGAAGAGTTGAAATATATACTGTTTTCAGAGCTTGGAAAAACAATTGAGGTTGAACAATAGAGCTTTTAATCGGCAGCTGGCCATTGAGACCCGGAAGACGGTAGCAGCTCAAGTAGCTACAAAGACCCTGCAAATGGAAATAAAACGCCTTCAACAAAAACTTAAGGTACTTCTTTTAAAACAAAATGTAAGAAAATTGGTGAAATTTTCCTTCCCCAAAATATCAGAACTATTCTTTAAATTATTTAACTTTAAGAAGCTAAAAAAAAAAAAAAAGGATCTATTTCTCAAATTAGTTTTTTGTCCCTACAATCATATGAACAGATAGAAGATCTGAAATTACTCGGATGAGTTTCCAGCCTGGTGAATGTGTGCGGTAGGGAGAAAAATTAAATCTCTCAGCTATTCATTAACAAAACCCTATTAACATTCTCATTCCATCACATGAATTAATATTATTTTGTTTTGCTATCATTTTAATGGAAGCCAAACTAAGTTTTTTTTTAATTACCTTTCATCATTAAAATATGGTGAGTAATTTTAGTGGCCCACAGATTTATTTTAAAGTCTCTCTTGGAAATGTTTGCAAACCAGTTCTGTTTCATCTGGAAAAATGACATTGCCTTTTATGATTCATGGTCATCCCTGGTAATGACCCAAGGAGAAAAGGAATAGAAACTTTAAAGATGTTTTAAGTGCCCTGACTGCCTCGGTCACTATGGCTGCATAACATATTACTCCACAATTTAGTGGTGTAAGAATTGAGAATATTAATTCTGTTCACGAATCCACAATCTGGGCAGGGCTTGCTGGAACGAGCTCATCTCTGCCACTCTTGACATCAGGTAAGGTGGTTCAAAGACGGGGGCTGGAATTCTCTGAAGTCTCACACATATGTCTGCAGTTGGTGCCAACTGACAGCTGAGATCATAACTGGGGTGTTGGCCAGAACCACCCACATGTGGTGTGGGCTTCCTCACAACATGGCAGCTAGGTTCCAAGGAGAAGAGTGCAGAGATATAGACAGAAAGAGAACCAGTCACATAGCATCTCTTCCACCTCATTCCCTTTGTCAAGGCAGTACAAGAGGAGGAGCAATGGATTCTTGATGGGGAGTCACCAGGTTCTGGAAGAGCATGGGACCAGAAATGGGATCAGAAATACTGCTGAACCAATTTTAGAAAAATGCAGTCTGCCATATTAATGTAAATCATTAATACCTGAGTTTGGGAGAGCATGGTCCCAAAGATCAAAATTTCTGTTTCTGTACTTTGAAACTCATTTTCTTCTCTTTTCCTTTTTTTTTAAAAGATTTTATGTATTTCTGGCAGGAGAGAGAGAGGGAGATGGCGAGCATGATCGGGGCAGTGGGGCAGAGGGAGTAGCAGACTCCCTGCCAAGCAGGGAGCCCAATGTGGGACTCGATCCCAGGACTCTGGGATCATGACCTGAGCGAAAGCAGACACTTAACCAACTGAGTCATCCAGGCGCCCAGAAATTCATTTTCAAAGTCATCCAACACCAATTCTAGACTCTGCTCCATTTCTAGAAGTCAGTCTTCCACAGCTCCCAAATGAGGTACTGCAGCTCCACCCTACATCTAGGCTACAAGCTCACCCCTGTCATTGTGGCATTGTCTATTAAGATATTGTTTCCTGGGGCACCTGGGTGGCTCAGTCGGTTGAGCGGCTGCCTTCGGCTGAGGTGGTGATACCCAGGTCCTGGGATCAAGCCCCACATCGGGCTCCCTGCTTGGCGGAGCCTGCTTCTCCCTCTCCCTCTGCCTGCCGCTCTGCCTACTTGTGTTCTCTCTCAATCTGTCAAATAAAAAATAAATTCTTTTTTAAAAAAGGTATTATTTCCTGTCTTTTGGAAGCCATCTATCCTGATCTTAATATGGTTCTCCACCATGACCCAACTTCCCATTGAACTCTGACCTGATAGCCTCTGAGCTTGCGAGTAGTCTTTCCTATAAATATTCCCCAACATTCCATGAGCATTCCTAAATGTGGATTTTCCTTCTTATTGCCTCGCTTGATTAACTGATTGACCTCAACTACACAAGTATCTTGGATTGCGTTCTGAACCTGTTATCTTTGATTTTGAGTCCAGCTCTGTGGAGGGCACCCCAGACTTGAACATTTGTTCCAAGCCTGTGGGAGGACTGTCCTTCCCATGACTTCCTTTTGCCCCCAGCCAGCCCTGCCCCAGCCACCTGTCAGTCAGCCCTTCTTACCCGCCTTCTTCCTGCTCTCTGCTGCTGAAGCACATACTCTGCCCTCCAAGGAGCCGGACCAAATCAAAAGAAATAACTGAATTTTCCGGACAATCAATGCTTGCCCCTCTTATCATTAAAAGCTTTCTTGTCTTAGTAGGGGTAAAAAAAAAAAAAAAATCTAAGATTTCTGAACAATATCCTTCTTAAACATAATATCCAGAATAAACTTGACCAATTTTTCATGGTAACAAACTGTCCCCATCACTGTTCTTTCTTGCTAAATGCACTATCACAATGAGAAAGAAATAAAGAGAAACATACTGTAACATTTTTGCTCCCAGAAACCTAATTTCTAGAAAAGACTAATATTCTCCTATGTCATCCTATGATAGCAGATTAATTTTATGATTAAAATAAATACAAACCCACGGGATGCCTGGGTGGCTCAATTGGTTGAACAGCTGCCTTCGGCTCAGGTCATGACCCCAGCGTCCTGGGATAGAGTCCCACATCAGGCTCCTTGCTTGGCAGGGAAGCCTGCTTCTCCCTCTGCCTCTGCCTGCCTGTGATCACTCTTTCGCTCTCTCGCTCTCTCTCACAAATAAATAAGTAAAATCTTTTTTTTTTAATAAATAAATAAATAAATAAAAACCCTGCCCTCTCCAGTTCCGATGTGCAAAAATACATAATGTTTTTTATTTTCTGTAACTATACTTCCTTACGAGCCCCATTCCCACAAGTGGGAGGTGAAAACAGGGACAGATATGGAGATTAAACAGAAGCTTCTCTCAGTCTGTTCCAGTTAAAACTGGTCCTAGTTTAGGTTGTCTCTGAGGCTTGCAGCAGTTTTCCCCAACCCCATCTCCCATTTCTCAGTGGAGATAGCATCTATGGGGGGTGGTGCACACTTTCTGTTGGTAAAAGGAGAAAGAGGCCCCTGACCCTCTGGGACCTCTATACCTAGTTCTACTGAGAAGTGACTGGTCTTAACTAGCCAAGCCCATGGGATCTGCCTGGTGTCTACTGAATATGGCCGGTGAAACTCATAGCCTCTTCTCCGCGGGTCAAATCTTGGTGATCTTCATTTGTTGTCTGTTGATGCCAATGCCTTGAGAGCCATCTGTCATCTGATCCTTGGCTAGAGCATCAATCCTAAAGCACGTGCTGTGGGATCACTTGGGTCGGTAACCTTGAGGACTGGGGAACCGGTTCCCTAGCTCTCCACGCAGTTCCGCTCTGTGGGGTCCCACTCCTTGTGGAAGTGAGGGAACCACTATCTTCGGCCCTTTGCCTAGACATTGCATTTAGCCCTTTCAACTTAGCACTTGGCAATGCCATGTTACTCTAGTTCCAGGCTGACCTGGGGGCCTGATGAAGAGGTTTGAATTGCCTGGGCCATGCCAAGGCCGCCTGTGCTGAGAGTTTCCCAAACCTCAGAGTTGTTTCTTCAACCCCTTAATATTTCTGAGGGGCACGGGGAGACCAGAACCCCATCCAATCTCTCTCTCTCCCTCTCTCCCTTCCTCCCCGCCATCTCTGCCCCAACCCTTCCCTCGGCCTCTTCCTCCAGGCTTTCCTATCTAATCATGCAGTAGAAGACACCCTTCACTCAGATACTCCTTTGATTGTGGTTTTGGATAAACTTGGTGGTCGTGAGTCTAACGGGCTTGCCTCTTGATGCATGTGTAAGAAGAGTGTTTAGTGCTTAATGAAACCTTCTTACCCCTCCCCCCGCAACAAGCCAGGATTTCATACCTTTTGTTTTGCCAAGACTTTAAGAACTCAATACTTTTGGGCCACCTGGGTGGCTCAGTCGGCTGATTGTCTGACTCTTGGTTTCGGCTCAGGTTGTGATCTCAGGGTCATGAACAAAGAGTCTGCGTGGGATTCTCTCTCCTTCTGCCCCTCCTGCTTGTGCTTATGCTTGCTCACACGCACTCTAAAATAAACAAATCAATTTTTAAAAAATAAAGATAATAAAATAAAAAGTCAATATTGAGATTTAAAGCTGAACAATAATGCCTTTGTTCTAGGCTTTACCCACCCTGCATGTACTGTCTAAATGCAGCCCTGTCTAGTGGAACTTCCAGTGTGGTCACTAGCCACAAGCAGCTACTGAGCATTGGAAACATGGCTAATGTGACAGAGGACTGAACTGTTCATTTCATTTTAATTAGTTTAGATCACAACATGGCTAGTGGCTGTATTGGACCATGAGGAAAAAAAACAGCAAAATTCACAGCACAGACCCCGGGGACAGAAAAAGTACAGTGAAAAAAGCTGGCTGGGGAGAGGGTAGTGGGGTTATGGACACTGGGGAAGGTATGTGCTATGGTGAGTGCTGTGAAATGTGTAAACCTGGTGATTCACAGACCTGTACCCCTGAGGCTAATAATACATTATATGTTAATTTAAAATTTTTAAAATTTAATTAAAAAAAAAAAAAGCTGGCTCACAAAGCCCTCAGCAATATTGTCTCCGTCACAAAATCTGTTGCTCTGTTAAAAAGTACTTTTTGGGGGTGCCTGGATGGCTCAGATGGTTGTCTACCTTTGACTCAGGTCATGACTTCCAGGTCCTGGGATCGAACCCTGTCAGGCTCCCTGCTCAAGGAAATTCTGCTTCTCCCTCTTCCTCTGCTTCTCCCATCTGCTGGTGCTCTTGCTCTCTCTCAAATGAATTAATAAAATCTTTAAAAAAAAAAGTGCTTTTTGGTGTCAGGAAGGATATATAATGTTATGGCTGATTTCTGTTTCTGCTAGCATCTGCAGATTTTATTCAAAGAATACTGAGTCCACTTAAATTGTTTTATAGAAGAAATCAAGGCCAATAATAGCAAACATTTATAGAAAATTTGGTATTGTGGTTCTCTTTAGGAGAAGGATCGAGAGCTTGAAATTAGAAACATCTATACTAGTCGGATACTTAAAAATTTACATGACAAAGAAGATTATCCAAAAGGTACATTTTAATTACTTTTGGTCCAAATCTATTTTTAAGGATGTAGTTGTATTTTTCTACTTTATATCATGCAAATGATGGATAGTTTAAAAATTGTTTTACTAGGTATTGAAACATGTTGTGATTCTAGAAGAATGATGAGCTGTGGGATATGGTCGAAACAGTAGGAGGGCAAAGACACGCTCTCCTGTCCTCACAGCCTCTGCCAAGTCCCCACATGTCCTTACTGTAGGCGGAGCAGGAGCCCCACTTTCCAGCTGGGAGCAAAATGTCTGTCAGACAGTGAACTAAGCACATCTGTTGGCCAGTGTGTGGGTTTTTAAAATCATCATTTAGGTACAATTTGCCTAAGTAAAATGCACCCATTTTCAGTGTGCATTTCGGCGGGTTTTGACAAAAGCTGATATGCGTGTGACCAGCAGCCTGGTCAGTAGAGAATCTCCCCCTCCTCTTGAGGCAAACACTGATTTCCTGTCAGAGCAACTTCCTGAGTGGAGTCACAGCAGGTGCTCTTCTGTGTCGGCTTCTTCTGGTCAGACTAATACTTTTGAGACTCACCTGTGTTGCTGCTGCCATCATTCATTTGTACCTTTTCATTGCTGAGTAGTATTTTCCCTTCAAGACGGGTCGTACTTATCTGCCCCTCCCCCAAGATCTAACAGCAGAAGACTGATCAAAAGAGGTACAATAGGAACACTCACCCCTGGTTTGGTAGAAAAAGCCACTCCATGCTTACTTGTTTTTTGTTGCTGGTGGTTTTTTTTTAACTGAAATTCAATTAATTAACATATGGTGCATTATTAGTTTCCGAGGTAGAGTTCAGTGATTCATTAGTCTTATGTAACACCCAGTGCTCATTACATCCTGAGCCCTCAATGCCCATCACCCACTTACCCCATCCCCCCACCCTCATCCCCTCCAGCAACCCTCAGTTGGTTTCCTATGATTAAGAGTATCTTATGATTTTTCTCCCTCTCTGATTTCATCTTGTTTTATCTTTCCCTCTCTTCCCCTATGATTCTCTGTCTTGTTTCTTAAATTCCACATGAGTGATATAGAATTGTCATTCTCTGATTGACTTATTTCACTTAGTATAATACCATCTAGTTCCATCCGAGTCATTGCAAATGGCAAGATTTCATTCATTTGATGGCTGAGTAGTATTCCATTGTGTATATACATCTTTATCCATTGGTCTGTTGATGGAAATCTGGGCTTTTTCCATAGTTTGGCTATTGTGGATATTGCTGCTATAAACATTCGGGTGCATGTGCCCCTTCGGATCACTACATTAGTGTCTTTGGAAAAAATACCCAGTAGTGCGATTGCTGGGTCGTAGGGTAGCTCTATTTTCAACTTTTTGAGGACCCTCCATACTGTTTTCCAGAGTGGCTGCACCAGCTTGCGTTCCCACCAACAGTGTAGGAGGCTCCCCTTTCTCCACATCCTTGACAACACCTGTCGTTTCCTGACTTGTTAATTGTAGCCATTCCGACTGGTGTGAGGTGGGATCTCACTGTGGTTTTGACTTGTATTTCCTGGTGCCAAGCGATGTTGAGCATTTTTTCATGTGTCTATTGGCCATTTAGATGTCTTCTTTGAAGACATGTCTGTTGTCTTCTGTCCATTTCTTTATTTTTTATTAACATATAATGTATTATTATTATTAGCCCCAGGGGTACAGGTCTGTGAATCATCAGTTCTGTCCATTTCTTGATTGGATTATTTGTTCTTTGGGTATTAAGTTTGGTAAGTTCTTTATAGATTTTGGATACTAGCCCTTTCTCTGATAAGACATTTGCAAATACTTTCTCCCATTCTGTTCGTTGTCTTTTGGTGTTGTCAACAGTTTCTTTTACTATGCAAAAGGTTTTTAACTTGATAAAGTCCCAATAGTTCATTTTTGTTTTTGTTTCCCTTGCCTTTGGAGACATGTCTAGCAAGTTTCTGCACCCAAGTCACAAAGGTTGCTACCTGTGTCCTTCTCTGGGATTTTGATGGATTCCTATCTCAAATTTAAGTCTTTCATCCATTTTGAGTCTATTTTTGGGTATGGTCTAAGGAAATGGTCCTTCTTATGTAGATGGTTGTCCAATTTTCCTAACACCATTTGTTGAAAAGACTGTCTTTTTTCCATTGGATATTCTTTCCCACTCTGTCAAGGATTAGTTGACTATAGTTAAGGGTCCATTTCTGGGTTCTCCATTCTGTTCCACTGACCTATGTGTCAGTTTTTGTGCCAGTACCATACTGTCTTGATGATTACAGCTTTCTGATACAGCTTGAAGTCCAGAATTGTGATGCCACCAGCTTTGGTCTTCTTTTTCAACATTCCTTTGGCCATTCAGGGTCTTTTCTGGTTCCATACAAATTTTATGATTATTTGTTCCAGTTCTGTGGAAAAAGTTGATGCTATTTTGATAGTGATTGCATTAAATGTGTAGATTGCTCTAGGTAACATAGACATTTTAACAATATGTGTTCTTCTAATCCAGGAGCATGGAATGGTTTTCCAGTTCTTTATGACTTCCTCAATTTTTTTCATGAGTGTTCTATAGTTTTCTAAGTACATATCCTTTGCCTACTTGGTTAGGTTTATTCCGAGCTATCTTACGGTTTTTGGTGCAATTGTAAATGGGATCAACTCCTTAATTTCTCTTTCTTCTGTCTCATTGTTAGTGTATAGAAATGCAACTGATTTCTGTGAATTGATTTTATATCCTGCCACTTTGCTGAATTCCTGTATGAGTTCTAGCAATTTTGGGGTCAAGTGTTTTGGATTTTCCATGTAGAGTATCATGTCATCTGTCTCTGCACTTACTTTTAAAGGCAACAACCTCAAACTTCCTTGCCTTCCTTTGTTTGCTTCTGCTTTCTAATTCAGAATAACAGCCAGCAGAGATGATCATACCAACCATGGAGTCATTTAAATGGGACCACACTTTGAGGAAACTGTAGATTTAGTGGCAGGCTCCAGTGACAGTAATCATGCTAAGCTTTGGTAACTAAGGGCACTGCCACAGGAAGTCAGGAAGTCGCTGTGGCTCACTGCCTCTGGACTGAGGTCCGTGCAGGGAGAGTGTGTCCTCCAACAGGAGCGCCCTCCTAGCCTAAAGCCTCCTTGTTTTGGAATCTAACACTGTGACACCCACAACCTTTGCAGCCCAAAATAAGACAAAACAGGTGAAATGGTAGGAGAAAAGGGAACTAAAAAATGTTATCCATATATTGAAAAAAAGTTTTAAATGTCTGTACATTTCCTTAAACTACAAACTTCAATGTTATTTTAGATCTAAACTCCATGTTGCTTCCACATGTGAAATGCTTCTGACATATAATGTACCTGTTCTATAGTTTCTTCGACCAAATCTGTACAAGCAGACAGAAGCTTTTCACTGACAAGTATGAAACACCAGGAAACCCAAAAATCAGAAGATGTTCCATCTTTGACAGCTAAGGTACAACAGATTTGAGTTCCTGCAGTGTCTGAACCTATCTTTGTGAAAACAGTATAAACAGTGTCTTATTCCCCACAAAAAGTATTTGTATTCATTGAACAAAAAACAATTTAAAATTATGTATACCCTCCAAAAATGTGTTTTTGCTGCTTTTCAAAATTACAGGGTAAAAAGACAACCGGAAACATTGGTCAAAAAGAAAAATCAACTGAAATAACCTGTGCAATTCCGCACTCTATCAGCAAAGTTCCAAACCAAGAGGATTCCAAGAGAAAATATGAAGGTAATTTTAACCACTTTTAAAAGTTCCCTCTACTCTTACTTGATTTAAGTTATGAATTATTCTGTGTGTGTGTGTGCGTGTGTGTGTGTGAGAGAGAGAGAGAGAAAGTATACATAAGGGGAGCCTGAGTGGCTCAGTTCATTAAGCCTTAGACTCTTGATTTTAGTTCAGGTCATGGTCCCAGTGTCCTGGGCTCCGAGCCCTGCACTGGCCTCCCCACAGAGAGAGGAGAACCTGCTTCTCCCTCTCTGCAGCTCCCCCTGCTTGTGCTCTCTCTCCGTCAAATAAATAAATAACATCTTTATTAAAAAATTAATAAAAGTACACATAAAACATATACAATGTAAAGAACTATTAGGAATGAACGCCTTTGTAGCCACTACCATACTTAAAAACTAGGACCTCAGTGTTCCCCAGAACACCTGGGAGCGCTTCCGAACTACCGCCCCGCGCCCCTCACCCACCAGAAATAACCACCACCTTCCGCTTGATGGACCTCGTTCCCGTCTTGTTCCTCCCAACGCGCATCCTGAAATTGTATGTTCAGTTTCGGCACACTGAGTAGCAAACCCAAATCCAACTCAGTAAGCGGCAACGGCCCGGCTAACGAAGACTTTAAAAGTAGACTCCAGGGAGAAGATGCACAGACTCGGGCTTCAGCTTCCCTGGATGTCCGCAGCCAAACCAGGCTGCGGCGCACGGCGGCGAGGGCATCACCTTCACTGCGCCGGGCAGGCAGGCCAAGGACGCTGGGCGCCCAGGAGGTCTGCGGAGCGGGGATCTTGGTGCCAGGCCTCAGGGCTTCAGCCTCTGCCTCCAGCCCCGGCCCCTCCACCTGTGGTACGCAGCTGTGGTGCTGGCACCTGCCCTTCCCCGCAGGCTCCTGCCGCCCCGTTCTCTGAGAAGACTTCTGGCTCCTAAGCCACGTCCTGCTCGGCGGTCAATGCGGTGGCGCGGTGAGAGCGCACCGTCCCGCCAGCTGCTGGAGGATGGGTGCGCGCCAGGCCCGTGTGCGTGCCTTCACCCGACCCGGCGCGACGCGGCCGTCACACCTAGAAACTGGCCGGAAAGTCTAGGTTGGAGATCATTTACCTCCAGAATTTCATTATCTTTTAAGGTGTTGCGTATTTAGACGGAGTGGACACGTGAGTGGGGCTGGGGGCAGAGGGAGGGGGAGAGAACATCTCGGGCAGAGCCCCGCTGAGCCGGGATCGTGGCTGACGGGAAATCCGGAGTCCAAGCCTGAACCGACGCTGTTTTGAAGCCCCCGTCCCGTGGCGTCCATGTTCAACGACTGCCCACGGGAACGTGCCGGCGCCCCACGGCCCGGCAACGCAACCGCTGCGGCAAGTCCCCGGGCCCGGGCTCCCCGGCGGAGCGGGCGGGCTTCAGGAGAGGCCGTGCGCGGCCACCGCATCAGCGTGGGGTCTCCGGATAAGTTCCAACGACACAAGCTTGGCCGCCTCGCTGCGCGCCGCCGCGTCTGGGGCAGGAGCTGACGACTCCGCTCTCGGTTCCTTCTGGGGCCCGAGGTCTGAGTCTCCACGGAGCGGCTAGTCCGCGTCGGTCATTGCGCCGGGGAGCCTATCCCTTAGTCAGCGACTGCTCTGGGAGCGCACACTGTGTCCGGCTGCTCCGAGCACCGCGGATGCAGCAGGGACGACCATACGTCCTCCTCGTGCGCTTCTGTTCCCGCGGGGAAGACAAACGCCGCGTGAAACAAGTAAGGTGTGCAGCGCCTCTGAGGGCGGTGACGCTGCCAAGAACGCCAAGAACGACGACACAGAGGGAAGGGGCAGGGCGGCTACGGTGGGGCTGGGGGGGAAGGAGCGACCGAGCGGACACCTGGGACACCTGCGACGGGCATTCCCAGCGAAGAGCGTGGGCCCCGGAGACACTGCGCAGAGGGACTGAGTTTGAAAGGGACCAGGACGCGCGTCTTCTGTGCAGGTTTCCGCAGGTGTGCACGTCTGTACCTGCAACAGCCCTCCCTCGTAAGAGGCGAGGCTGAGAGCAGGGCTTCCTAAGTGCTGGTAAGGAACGGAAAGGGTCACCTCCAAAAGACTTTTTCATTTAACATTGGATGGTGACCCTCCCTCCCCTGTCAGTCCATACATACCCACCCACTCCGATCCTTATAATAGCTGCCCCGAGTCCCATGGACTGTGCATGCCATTTCTTTACCCGTGACCCCTTGACACACACATAGGATGTTTCCTTGTTACCAAACCATGCTGCAGTTCACATCCCTATACCTATCCTTGTGTATTTTTATGAAGTTTGGTTCTAGAAGTGCAGTTGTTGGATCTAAGAATATGTTCACTTAAATTATGATAGATACAGGGGTACCTAGCTGGTGAGGTCAGTTGGGCACCTGACTCTTGGTTTCAGCTCATGATCTCAGGGTCATGAGACTGAGCCCTGGGTCAGGCTCCGCACAGCGGGGAGTCTGCTTGAGATTCTCTGTCCCTCTGCCTCTGCCCCTCCTTGCCACCCCCCAATGCAGCATGCGTGCTCTCACTCTAAAAAAAAAAAAAAAAGTTAAAAAATTTTTTTGATAGCTCAAACTGCCATCCAAAAAAAGCTTGTACCAATTGACACTCTCACCAATGGGGAACAGAAGTTCCAATTTCCCCATATTCTCCCCAAATCTAGAAACTATCTGCCAATGTGGATGGGGGAAAAGTATCACTGTTTTAATGGCACTCTGTCGCCTAGCAGTGATGAGCATCCACTGATAACTTCTTAGCAAATGCATGTTTCTTTTGGCTTTGTAATTCTTATTTGGTATGTTCTAGGAAAGTAGGACATTTCAAGCTCGTTACCAGCCCCTTTCCCTGTATTCTCGTGTGGAATGCAGGTTATGTTCATGTGCCTGTCCAATGTCAGTAAGTGTGCTCTTCTTGAAGCATGTCTTCTTGAAATAGAAATCTGCTCATTTTAAAGACCACTAAGTAAACTGTTTTTTGAATATAGATTTATCGAAGGAAGAGAAACATTTGGAAGAACCACCACCTCTGGAGAATATTGGAAGACAGAGAGAGAGAAAAGAAGATCAAGAAAAGAAAGCCACTTTAGTGAAAGAAGAAGAACTACCACCAAAAAGAATTGAAGTAACTCATCCTGAACGGGAAGGCAAGCAGGATGACGACACAGGGAAAGAAAAGTTCAAAAGAAGTCTCCAAATAAATGACACAGACAAGGCGCCTGATAAAAATGCTGCTGCAAATATCAAGATCCCCTTCAGACAGAGAAAGCATTACTCGTTCACAGAAGCCATTGAGAACCTGCATCACGGGCTTCCTGCCTCTGGCGGGCTGGTCAGCGCGGCTGTGACGAGAGGCGGCATAAGCACCAGCAAGCCTCGCGGGAACTCAGAAGGCCTGAAGCCAGAACATTCTGTGAGTGGGTATGAACCCTCTTTTGGCAAGTCTTCCCAAACAAAAGCAAAAGATACTTTCAGAGATAAGAAAAACAGTCTGATGGAAGAACTCTTTGGGTCAGGCTATGTCTTTAAACATGACCAGACCAGCACGGCTGCTGCTCAACAGGCTGACGAGACCCTGGAAAGTAAAAAGACGCACCATCTACCTCCCAGTCAGGCCTCCGCCAGCAACGCTTTCGGAGATTCTAAAGTAACTATGGTAAATTCCATTAAGTCGTCTTCACCTACAGAAGGAAAAAGAAAAATAATTATTTGAATATAATCAATATCCTAATACATTCTGGTATCATATTCTCGTTCTTATGTGCCTTTAATCTCATAATGTTAGTGTGTGTCTGCGTGTGTTTCTGTACTTGAACTGACTTTGGATAATTAAGGTTTTGTTATAACCTAATTTTAAAAATCCACTGTGTATTAGCCAATGACATTTCAAATATAAAACTGTATCTTTTTTCCCTATAACTGAAACATGTCCATTATCTTTTGGAAGACTGACTTATTCCATGGCTTTAATATTCTGTGGGACTCCATGGCTCGTTAGTCCGAGTCAGTCAGCCAAGGGTCACACATCTCACATACGTAGGAATGTTCGCAGCAATCGAACTGTGTTTTAACTAAAAAAACATGGAAGCAGTTTTGAAAGAGAAGATTCTACTTTAAAAAAAAAAAAAAGGCACAGTGATTACCAACAGTAGTTTTATGAAAATTATTTTTGAGTGTTCTCCAATTCAGCTAAACTGCCTTAGTGATGACTCTCTCCTTGTTTACACCTGAGATTCACTATTTTTATTTCTATTCGTTACATATCTATACCATGTCCTTTTTCCTGTTAATCTTGCCATAAAAGAGCACCAGGCATAAGAGTGTCCACTCCAGCGAGCTGCTCTATCCTAACACTCCATTGCACTAACAGCATCTCTTATCTGAACTAGACAGGGGCTTCACTCCCAGCACTAATCATTTTACTTACCTTCATTTATTTTTAAGGGCAACTTATTTACAATGTGAACCATGCTATTTCCAAAGAGGTTTATGGATTGGTGTGTAATATTAGCACTTTAAAAAATTGAGAATAGTAGAATAAAACTTTTAAAAGAAAGTGAAAACCATGGTGGGGAAACAATTGTATTTAAAACCAAAGAGGAGATAAACACTGTAAGGCCCTAAGCTTTGATCTTTACGAAAACCACAGAGGGGAAGAGAGAAGAAAGGGGAGAGGGGGAAGGAGAGAGGAGAGTTAGATGTCCCACAGGCTTCTAAGGGGAGATATGCAAATGCCTGTCAAATGACATAAATGCCTTGCCCTAAATTCTGAAGAAATTTACTAAAAGGATTTTTAAAAATGATATATGAATAATATTCCAGTGTTGCAATGTCTACTTGCTTTATAGCAAGATTTTTCAAGGGATCTTTTCTTATGCCTACCCACAACAAGAGCATAAAAAAAAAAAAAAAGAGCATAAATCATAAGGGTCTGACTCTAGATCTCAGCTCGGGTCTTGATCTCAGAGTTTTGAGTTCAAGCCCCACGTTGGTCTCCACACTGGGCATGGAGCCTACTTAAAAAAAGAAGAGAGATCTAGGCTGGCAGTGCCCCCAGGGCAGTAGAAATGCAAACTATCTCTAGAAAAACCTGTCCTTGACCCAGGCCTCAAGAAATTCCCACAAGATAGTTAAAATAAATAAATAAATAAATAATAACAACAAAAAAAACACCCACATACATGCAGTCCAGAAAATGATAAGACACAAGAAAACAAGGTGCTAAAAGAACCAACAGGCACAACAGATATCAGGTTCAGATCTGCAAAGGCTGTACATGTTGGAATTATTATATACAGAAAATAAACATGTTTAAAGAAATGAAGTTTCTGAAAATATGAATGAAAAGAACAAGAACTCAGCATATGTGACAAAACGTAAAAGACATATATATAATCATTTAAATTAACTCTATAGGGCGCCTGGGTGGCTCAGTGGGTTAAAGCTTCTGCCTTCGGCTCGGGTCATGATCTCAGGGTCCTGGGATCAAGCCCCACATCGGGCTCTCTGCTCAGTGGGGAGCCTGCTTCCCCCCTCTCTCTGCCTGCCTCTCTGCCTACTTGTGATCTCTCTCTCTCTCTCTCTCTCTCTCTCTGTCAAATAAATAAATAAATCTTTAAAAAAATAAAAATAAAAAAATAAATTAACTCTACAAATGGGCTTCACAGCAGATGAACCCAGAACTCAGAGAGCAAAAAGATCTGAAGAAATGATCAGCATTGAAGCAGAGAGAGCAGAGAAACAATGCGAGGGGAGTTTTACAGGCACACACAGATGAAAAAGGCTGAACTAGTATGTAATCCGAGCTTCTGAAGAAGAGAGAAGAGAGAATGGAGCAGAGCTAAATATCTAAAGAGATAAAGGGTGAAAAATACCGATTCAGAAACTCCAATAAATTCCAACAAAATAAACAGAAATAGAAACAAAACAAAACTCACACCTGGCTAGGCATGAAGAAACTGCCAAGCAGTTTCTTGACAAAGGGAAAATCTTAAGACCAACCACGGAAAAAGGCAGCGTATTGTCAAAGGAACCACTGTACTACTCATCGGTCATGACAGTAAGGCAGAAAACAGTGGGGTGCCAACAGGACAGCCATGACCTAGAACCGCACACCCTCCAATACTATTCCAGAAGAAGGAAGAGGCAGGACACGTTTTCAGAGCCTCACTAATGCAGAGATCAGCTAACCTTTTCTGTAAAGGGCCAGATAGTAATCACTTAGGCTTCACAGGCCACCTACCTTCTGTAACACCTTCACGACACCACTGGAAGGTGGAAACAGCCACAGGCGATACACAAACAAACAGGCCTGGCCGCGTTCTAATACCACGAACCAAGTGCAGCCTGCCACCTCACTCCTGTTCAGACTGACAGACCTCAGGGAGAACTTGTTTGAGATAAAAGGTCTCTTGTGCGAGCGAGAGAGTGGTGAATGTGTAGTCCTAAACATCGTGGTTTTACACCATCTCTTGTGGGGTCACAGAGAGGGAACACAAGGCTGAGGCATCATATGCATGATGACAAGCACCTCGTGCACCGGGGGGAAGGACTGACATTCAAGTGTTGACTCACACTGCTGCAGAGGGGAGGACAGCATTAAGCATGGACAAATTTTCTAGTGTTAAAACAAAAATCGAGTAACTTCAAAATTTAAGGGGGAGGACGGGAAAAAATAAATAAAGAAAGAAGGCAATCGTGAGATAACAGAAAGTATGTCCTGGCCTCTGCCCAGGCTCCCGGCACAGAGCTCTGAAACCCCAGTAACTCCCTGTGGTAAGAGCAGTTGGAGCACCTTTTGTTCTGGGTATTTGGTCTCTGACCCCTTCCTGACACGGGGCTCTGGAAACCCTGCTAATTTCCTAGGTGATGGGCGTGTCTTTTGTTCTAACAAGGTGACCCAGGTGGGCTCCTGGATAGGGGCTAGTCACCAGAAAGACCACACTGGGATTAGAAGGTTGGAACTTTCAGCCCCACCCCACACTCTTGAGTGGGGAGAGGGGCTGAAAACAGAGTCGATGACCCCCGGATGCCCATCTGAGGAAGCCTCCATAAAATCCCAGCAGCATGGGGTTGGGAGAGCTTCTGGGTTGAACACGTGGAGGTACCAGGAGAATGGCATCCCTGGAGATGGCCTGGAAGCTCCACGCCCCTTCCTACACACCTTGCCCTAAGGATCCCCTCCATGTGCTGGCTATCAGAATCATTTATCATATCGTTTCATCATAAACTGGTAAATGGAGGAACTGGATTTCCTGAATTCCGTGAGCTGCTCTAGCAAATTAATCAAACCTGAGGAAGAGGTCATGGTAACCTCTGATTTATAGCTGGTTGGTCAGAAGCACAGCCTGGACTTCCTGGTAACGGGTAGCCCAGCAAATAAAAATGCACCAGTAAGACAAACATGTGAGTAAGACAGCCAATAACTCTAACCCAATGGACACATACAAGAAGACAACTTCAAACTTGTATTTTTTATCACAAATGGAGCATTTGCAAAAAACTTTATCCTAATATATTTTAAAGTTGAGAAGAAATGGATAAATCCTACACTAATTTTCCTAAATCAAGAAAAAATACAAAACTAATAACCTCATAATCACTAAAGAAATTGAAATCTTTAGTTAATCTTTCAGTAAAAAAAAGAGAAAACTCAGATTTTACCAGCAAATTCATCATATATTCAAAGAATAAAATAACTCAGACTTTAAACCTGTTCCAGAATATAGAAAAAGGAACATTCTCCAACTCATGATTACAAGACTGGCATAACCCTGATAACAGAACCAGATGAGGAAAAAGACAATAATGTCCACACTCAACACTTCTATTCCACCCTGTACTGGAGTTTCTGGCCAGAGAAATCGGGCAAAAATAAAATAAAAGGCATTGATGGGAAAAGAAGAAGTAAAACTATCTCTATTCACAGATGACATGATCTTGCATATAAAAAATCCTAAGGTATCCACTAAACTATTTATTGGAACCAATAAATGAGGTTACAGAATATAAGATCAATACACAAAAATCAATTTCTATGTAACAATTTCATTTAAAATAGCATCAAAAGGAATACTTATGAATAAATTTAACAAAAGAAATACAAAATATCATCTGAAAACTACAGGGCATTGTTGAAAGAAATTAAAGATCTAAATAGTTGGAAAGATAGCCCAAGTTCATGGATTGGAAGCCCTTATACTGTTAAGATGGCAATACTCCCCAAGCTGACAAATTCAGCACAATCCCTACCACAATCCCAACTCACTTCTTTGTAGAAACTGAGATACAAATTCTCAAATTCATATGAAATTGCAAGAGACACAGAACAGCCAAAACAATATTTAAGAAGAAACACAAAATTAGAGGATGCACAAGTCCCAAATTTAAAACTTACTACAAAGCAACTGAAATCAAATTATTGTGGTATTGGTCTAAGTATAGACAGACAAAGAGGTGGACAGAATACAACTGAGAGTCCAGAAATAAACCCATGTTGTACAGTTCATTGATTTTTGACAAGGTTGCCTAGACCACTCAACAGGGAATACACAGTGTCAACAAACGGTGCTTAAACAACTGAAGATCCACATACAAAAGAATAAAGTTGAACTCTTACTTCACTCTCTATACAAAAATTAATTCAAAGTAGATAAAAGACTTAAGTGTAAAAGTTAAAAATATAAAACTCTTGAAGAAAACAAAGACATAAATCTCTGTGACTTTGGATTTGGC